TTTCAAATTCCCGTCCAAGCCCTCATCCCGGTCGCAACGGGATCCTGAATCCAAAAACCGCCGCACACACTCGACCACATCGGGCAGCCCCACAAAACACAAGTCCAGGAAATCGTCCTCCCGCTTTTCCTACGATCGGGACTCGCATCCATTGAATCTGCCTCCGGACGAGCTCCGTCGCCTATCCGCCATGGCAGCTGCGAAAGACGATACCCGCAGCTCCATGGATATCGAGCAACCCGATGCTGGCGTTGTGCCTGCTCCATCCCCTTCCTCCGTCTCAACGCCAATGCAGCAAGATTCTCCCGCCTCCTCCCCTGCCACTCAGTCAAATGGTGTCTATTCTGATACGGCGGAGCGGAGTCCGACTCCCCCTCCTCACTGTGTGCTGTCAAGTTCGCCCCAACCTACACTTCCGGCTGTTGATGCGGAGGCATGCAAATTAGCGGGGAATAAGTTTTTCAAGGCTGGGGATTATCAGAAGGCCATTCAGGAGTATACAAAGGGTAAGTGCCGTTATTTGTTTTGTTACCCTAAGACGTATAAGTTGGAAAGGTGCACGTACCATCAATTCAGTGAATGAGAAAAAAACCTTCCCAGTGGTTAGAGATGGTGAGATAGATAAAAAACAAATTGTGTGTGTGTGTGTGTGTGTGTGTGTGTGTGTGTGGTTTTACTTCTCTGGTTTGTTAATAGATCATTTGTGAACACAGCTGTTGAGGCTCAACCATCCTCATCCACCTATCTATCAAACAGAGCGGCTGCCTACATATCAGCACATCAATATCTCGAAGCCCTGGAAGATGCCAAGTTGGCCGATGAACTAGAGCCTGGGAACCAGAAAATCATGCATAGATTAGCAAGAATATATACCAGTCTTGGTCGGCCTGTCGAGGCACTGGACATCTATTCAAAAATTCAACCACCCGTTTCCGCAAAGGATAAAGGCCCCTCAGAGGCCATGCTACACCATATCACACAGGCAGAAGAATCTTTACGGGAAGACAAAGGAGGTTCCATGACATTGTACTGCCTGGACCAAGCTGTAAAGGGACTAGGAGCTGGCATTCAACAACCGCGCAAGTGGAAGCTAATGCGCGTGGAGGCATATCTGAAGATGGGAAGTGTCAATGCATTGGGTGACGCACAGAACATCGTCATGTCTATACTGCGTGATAACAACCAGGATCCTGACGCGCTATTCCTTCGGGGCCGACTCTTCTACGCTCAGGGAGAAAACGAACAAGCAATCAAACATTTTAAACTTGCTCTCAGCTTAGATCCAGACTCTAGCCAGGCAATCAAATACCTTCGTATGGTGCAGAAACTCTTACGTATGAAAGACGAAGGAAATGCCGCTTACAAGTCTCGAAAATACCAACAAGCCATAGACATCTATTCGAAGGCCCTAGAAGTCGACCCGAAAAACAAAAACATCAACTCCAAACTCCTTCAGAACCGTGCGCAATCCTACCTTAATCTCAACAAATACGAAAAGTCCATTGAAGACTGCACAAAGGCACTTGAGCTCGATCCTTCATACGTCAAGGCGCAACGTGTGCGGGCAAAGGCGTACGGTGGCGCTGGCAACTGGGAAGAAGCGGTACAGGATCTAAAGAAGATTTCTGAAGCCAATCCCGGTGAGACTGGGATTCAGGAAGAGATACGGAATGCAGAGTTTGAGCTGAAGAAGAGCCAGCGGAAGGATTATTATAAGATCCTTGGTGTGGACAAGGATGCGACAGATCAGGAGATTAAGAAGGCCTATAGGAAGCTGGCTATTCAGCATCACCCGGATAAGAATCTGGATGGTGATAAAGGCGATACACAGTTCAAGGAGATTGGAGAAGCGTATGAGATTTTGAGTGATCCCCAGTATGTCTTACTCCCCCTTGCGAATTCTCCCTTTTTTCTCTCCTATTTCCCCAACTGTTTTTGCGAAAATCATTCATGTTTCGTTTTCCCCGTACGCTAACAATTCCCCCTTTTCTTGTCTCTTTTTAGGAAACGCGCTAGCTACGACAACGGCGACGACCTAATAGACCCCTCGGACATTTTCTCCCGCGGTGGCGGTGCTTCTTTCGCGCATATGGGAGGCATGGGAGGCATGGGAGGCATGGGAGGTATGGGAGGTATGGGTGGTATGGGCGGCACCGGCCAGAACATCCACATCGACCCTAACATCCTCTTTAATATGATGAATGGGGGCAGTTTTGGACGAGGCGGAGGACGCGGGGGAAACCCGTTTGAGAGATATCATCCGCACGGCTGGTAACGAAATTTTTCCTGCAATATGGAAAAAGAAAGATGAAGGAATAAATGAAACGAATGAGGAATAATCCACAACACTCGAAAGAAAGACAAAAGCAGAAAAACAGGAGAAGTAATCGAGAGGAGCCGCAAACGTGGGTACAATATATAGAAATCTAATACATGCATGGCACAAATGGAAAAGGGTAAAAAAGGCCCTGGAGCCTGGGAGAGTAGAGCAAGGTAAAACTTTTCCGAATCAGATATGCTTCTCCTGTGATTTTCCTTTCTCGTTTACATCTTCTTTATCCGTGGTTTTTCAATTATTTATTCTTCTTCTTCTTCTTCTTCTTCTTCTTCTTCTTCTTCTTCTTCTTATTTTTCGTACTTGGTCTTTACTTCTCAAACAATATCTTGTGGTGAAAACTTTTTTTTTCTTCAACCTATTAGCCCTCGTTCCCTTTGTTAAGCATTCTTTTATATGACACTGGTGGAAGTGCATCTCAACATACGTACATAATAGACCGATTTTTTCTCTTTTCTCTTTTTACTTTTGTTTCATTCTCATTCCTTTTTTGCTGGCCGTATTGATTGTCAAATCTCATATAGGCTCTTAGTGGAACTGATGTGGAAAGCAACGGCAGTACAGGCGGCGAGCAGAGGAAACTGGAGAAGGGCCCTGTGAGTATGTATGTACAAGGCTTCTCTCCTTGATACATACAGAACGGATATGTTTTGCGGATGGAAAGGTTGGAAAACAGAAGGTAGGTGAAAGTGTTGATTGAGAGCAAAGAGTTGCTTCGTTATTCATCCATGCATGTATTGGTTTTCATTTGACTATATATTTTGAATTTCCATGTCACCAGTGTGTTGGCCCATTTTATTCCTTCTCATGAGACGTATGCTCAGGTCGGGCTATTTCTTTCTTTCTTTTTCTGTGTGTCATATATGATCAATGTTTTTAGTTTCAATGAATGCAAACTCGGAGGTTGTGGAACAGAAGTTTTGGAAGTTCCTCTCAAATGCTAACTGCACACTGGGCTTAGAGGCGGTTTAGCCCCGTTAATCTTGTCTACCTATGGATTAGTTGACTCCTCACGCATGAGCGCCTGTTCCAATGGTCCCTCTGACCACCATAACATTTGAGACATAGGGCGCGGGGTTTCAGACTCGACTGCAAGAATTCACATTTTAAGATAAATTCTAGCGTGTGCAAGCACTTTGTTCCCACGCCACTGTACGAGAAGGTAATTGTTATGTCGTTCTTTTGTACATTGATTATCCCTCATTCTTTTTCATCTCATTCTGATACTGATGTTGTTTCTATCTTCACAATAGTTATGTGAAATTTGACAGATGCTTATTAAGTTATCTGGGCTTGATTTGCTTCTCTTGTTCACAAGAAGTTTCATAGTCATATTTCAACTTTTTTAATTAACAAAGTATTTGTCATAAATTCCCTTTGTGAAACTCTGCTTGATCTATCTTTCAATACAGAGAGGAATAGAAAATATGATGACACCCGTTGGAGAAGAGGCTGGTCGGTAGACTGGTAGGGGAAAGGTTCCCTCGATGTTTGAAATATGGATTTTGATAGATATTAATACTGCAACTTTCACTCTTTTTCCTGAAGACAGACCTTGCAAATCTCATCTTGAAGGAGGACTTGGGTTTGCATTCTGAGGGGCGACATGTGACTAATGCTCAACTGTTGTTGTCATGTTGGTTCGGGGCAGCAATTTCAACTTGGTTGCATTTCTTGATTCAAGAAGGATCCTGGATCTGGGAAGCCTTTTCCTGCCTCACTCCTGGGATCCACAAGCGTCGTGCAGCTTTTGATCTTCGACTCCTCCGCAATCACCAGTTGGTGACATGCCTGCTGCTGAAGGAGAGAATCCTACTAGTTACCAATGAAAGGAACAACCAAACTCAACTAGTTATTCCCATACAACTATAACTTGGGGGAGAGTTTGTTACGGTAACGTTACCTCTACGTTTACCCTCCAGAATTGGGGTAACCCGAGCTTCAGCTGGGATGGATTTTTCTGTTCTTGATGCCTGCTTGCTGAATATATATATATATTTGTTGTCCTAACGTGTCACAACTGAGCTTCATGGGCGGATTATCCTATGGGATATAATTCCCTAGAGCCGTTGTCGGGAGAATGTCGAGCCCTCCCGAGATATCATCCTGAAATGGAGGACACTGCTTTTCGTCGATGATTATCTTTTTTCTTTTCTCTTTGGCCTAACTACATAATCCATTACTTTTGGTGATCTGCTTTTTATGAAAAATTCATCCCAGAGGGCCGTCTCTTCTTCTTTCCGCCGTTTCCTTTCCCGGTTTTTGGCGCCCGGCGATTTTTCTCTCGCGGTTGGTTTATATTTCTCTTAAACCCTCCAGCACATTTCTTCTTTCCTTCAAGATTGTTGACAGGTTAGGTTATCGTGAAGGATTTTTTTTGGCAATGCCCAAAAAATATCTTGGAGGATCAGGCGAGCGCATCACCATGTGGATATCCGTCGCTACCTCCACAGTGCTCATGTTCTATGGCTATGACCAAGTCTGATTTTTCGAGTTTTCTACCCAATATATTCCCTATAGAAAAACCCGGGGAACCTTGCCAAAAAAAAAAAAAAAAAAAAAAGAGAGAGAGAGATCATACATCTGATTCAAATTAGCTATCCTTCCGTACTTCTCATAGGGGGTTTTCGGCAACATCATCATCGGACAAGATTTTCTGGTCACAATGGGCCAGCCATCGGCGAATATGCAAGGGACTATGACATCAGTCTACAACTTGGGCTGTTTTGCTGGTGCTATGTCTACTGTCTGGACTGGAGATCTCTTCGGGCGTCCCCGCCAGATCCTGATTGGCAGCACCATAATCGCAATTGGCGGCAGTATCCAAGCTGCCTTCGTACGGTGTCACACAGATGATGGTTGGGCGTGTTGTTGCTGGACTGGGAACGGGAATGAATACGTCTACAGCAGGCATTTGGCAGGCCGAGACAAGTAAGATGAAGAGCAGAGGGAAGCTGGTTATTATTCAGATGGTAATAGATATTAACCCCGAATTTCTAGAGGATATGTTGTTTGACCATTGGAAGAGAAAGACATGAAGATGAAAGCTTACGCAGGTCCGATTGGTTTGTTTGTTTTAGGCGAACTGCATCGCCAGGTTCTCTATCTCCAACTGGTTAACGCTAGCCTTCTCATTCGCTCCGGGAAGTGTAGCTTGGAGGTTCCCATTGGCATTTTAAAAAACTTTCACATTATGCATCTACGCACTATGCCCATTCCTACCGGATTCTCCCCGACTACTTATTCGGAAGGGAAAAGACAAGGAAGTCCTTGAAGTAATAGCCGTGCTGGAAGGAAATAATTCCACTCCCAAGTCGCCTTCTGTGAAAACCCAGTTCAATGTCATTAAAGACATATTGGATCGGGAAAATATGAATTCATATACGTGGATTCAGCTTTTGTCGGGAAGAGGTAGGATACGAGAACTTCTTATTCAAATTCTATTCTGAAACACTCTTCCTCTCAGGGCCCGCGGGTGTCCTCCGTCGAATGGTTCTGGGTGCCTGGATGCAAGCCATGAATCAAATCTCTGGAATTAATGTCACATCGTAAGATTTTCTCTCTCTTCCACCTTTGCCGCATCATGAGACAAAATATAATCTTACGCCCCATACACTCAATAGCTACTACATGTCCTACATCTTTATAAACGCACTGAACATTAGCGAGCTACTTTCCCGTATCCTCGCTGCGGCCGGCAGTATCGATTACCTTGTCTTCTCCTGCCTCGCCTACTCTGTGATAGAGCGATACGGGCGGCGAAAAGCAATGATGTCATCTGCACTCGCGTGCTCTACATGCTGGGTCGTGATAACTATCGCAATGTCAATTTCTGATAGGGCCATGGGAGACGAGTATAAATTTGCGTTCTTCGCGAGTTTCGTGATGGGGGTGTTGGGTGTGCCGTGGCTATATCCAACAGAAATTAATGCGCTTGGAATGAGGACTAAGGGTGCGTCTTTCGCCATGGTGACGAATTGGATTATGGTATGTATTTGCCTTTTATTTTTATTTACTGTTTTTACACCTCGCGAAATTAAAGGCACGCACCATACTAATTGTTAATGTGAGTATTAGAACTACATGGTCGTACAAGTGACTCCGCCTGGTATTGTAAACCTGGGCTGGAGATTCTGGATCATCTGGGCAGTTATTTGTTTCTCGTTTATTTCAATCACGTACGTTTTCTACCTGGAGACGGCAAATCGAACACTGGAGGATATTGATCGCTTCTTCTCCGAGAAGCCGGGGATTATGGTTGCTCGAAATAAGAGTATGTTTTGCTACTACTATTCACATCTCCTGTTCACCAACCTTCAACTGCTTTTGTAAAACTCTTGCACTAATAGAACATCAGCCGCGACCCAACTCCATAGACCGGAGGAATATATATTTATGGACGAAGAAATAGCGAAGCGGGAGCAATGCGTTTTGCCTGTCGAGAGTGAAGAGCATATCTAGGAAGAGTTTGTACCGTTCTCTAGATAGAAACGTCCAGAATAAAGCTAAGGGATAAACAAACAATAAAATATATACTCGATATTACTAACGGAACTGACCAGGGGTCATAACATGCGGTTGTATGATAGAAAGATGCTTCATGGTTCTCGCAATGCAACGACGCTAGCCTCTCTCAATTCTTTTTTTTTTTTTTAAAAAAAAAAAAAAAAAAAAAAAAAAAAATTGGGCTACAATATTTCCCATTCCCAAAAGAAAGAACCAATTCCATTCAATATTCATTTTGAATTGTTTCGCCATCGATCCAATATAAGGTGGCAGGAAGCTAAACAAAAAGAAAGGGGGCGAGAGCTAAGCGCAAAGAAGATAGCTAGGTAATATCCAAGATCAAAAGATTGAATAGCCGGACATAAATAAAATCCAAGGAAACATGAAAGATAGCACAGTTAGAGCATTCACAGCAGCGCGTACACTTCTCACCAAAATAATCTCCAGCTTCCCTTAGCCCATCGCACCTAGGAGCACCCCACCAGTTCGTTTCTGATACCGCCTTGCTCAACAGTAAAAGCCACCCATCAAAAGCCATCAATCCACTCAACTCACCCATCAATCCGATTCCCTCGTGCAAAGAAGTCCACAATGCCCCCGTCACTCGTAACTGTTACGTTCATCTTGCCAGAAGCGCCCCACCACAGAGCATCCCACTCGGCCTCAGGATCTGGATATCTCACGCCGTCGGCAACAGTCTTATTGCCACCACGAACCAGCATGCCTTCACCACCAATGCTGACGCGGCCCTTGCCGGAAGTAGCAGCGTGGACACGGCCAGCCCAAGACGGAGGATAGACAACGGCCACAGATCCGGAACCTCGCGCGATGTGATGGGCAGTGATAGATTGCGGTGCCCACCGGCCCTTCTCAGGTCCAGATGAGCTAGCCGATTTCCCATCCTCTCCTTCTGGTGGGGGTGGGAAGAACGGCTCCAAAAGCGAAAGGTGAGTGCTTCCAGTCTCGGTAGAAGTGAAGATGGAGACATTGGCGCGGCGTTGGGGCCATCGATCATCACCGCCATCATTGGGAGGATGATACGGGTCATGGGGATCGCGCGGGGGTTTTTCCTCTTCCTCTTCGATGAAAACGATGGGGATGAGGTTGGCGCTGATGGAGCCGGAAATAGTAGAAATCTTAAGCAGATTCGAGAAGGCGACTTGGCCTGAGATACTACCGGAGGCAGTGTGGATTTCTACCTCATACGGACGTGGTGTGAGGAAGGCGTGTATATTGCTAGTTTTATCATTTTTGTTTCTGGACTTCCTTGGTTTATATAGTTCCCGGGGTTTGGTGGAACTGGGAGCATCGCTGGGGGCAGGGCGCACGACCGGGAGTCGGAAAGACACAGATATGCTTCCCGACTCCGTTCTGATGGACACCCTTGCTGGCTTGTCTGGTTGTTCGGGATGAGCAGGCTGAGGGTCGATGACAACAGCAATACTACCCGTGACTGTAGTTAAATTGAGACTGTCGTAGAGCGGGAATTTGCCAACAATTGAGTTGGTAGTTGTGTTGACGGAAATATCCCGCTTGTCGGATGGACCATGATCATGCCAGTCGTTGTTGGAGACTTGGTCTTTCTGTTTGGAGTGTGTGCATTGCTGCGGTTGTTCGTCAGTATCCAGCTATTATACATGTAGAGCGTAGGAGGGTGACGACAAGGCAAGAGGCCACGCTATTCAACATAAGAGAATGCATCAATTTGACAATATAAAATAAAACAAGATATTTAAATATTTCCCATACCTTCTTAAATCCGTGAAAAGAACCCCTGACGAAGTAACCAAGCAGCGCAATGAACACGACAACCTTGAGTGCTACTAACGACGCTCTGGCACAAACAGATCGAGAGCTATTATCTCCAAAACAGGACCGTGATCCTTTCATAAAACCATACCGCCTTTTATTGATAGGAGAAGTTTCTGCGTCTTCCAAAGTGCCAAGGCATTTGTAGTCGGCGGCTAAGGTAGCTTTCTCCGTGTCGCTCATGGCTTCCTTTGCTGAAGGGTCATCTCGATACCTCGGTTGGTCGGAGTATGTGTCCATGCTCATATTCCCCTCTGTTCCTGCAATAGAGCGTTGTGAGGTGGAGGAAAAATGATAGAACCACTGTCTCTGTTAAATGTGGCGAGAAAGGGGGGGGGGAAAAGGAAGGGACAGGGTCAAAAGGAAAACTCCACGCCGGGGGGCTAACAGAATATATAAAGGGCTTGAACAACTAACCGAGACAAGATAAACCAATCAGTCAATGGAGGGCTGGATACGCCGTACAGGGAGGGCACGGCTTTTCAAATGGACAAGAACAAGAAACCGGGAATGACAATCATACACCACTGCTGTAACAGTTCTTCAGCAGGAATCGCACAGCGCCAACTTTTAAGCCAATTGCATCCAAGGGAAAAGTTCACAACGAAATGCAAGAAGGTTAGGGAGAAAAAGAAAGTCGGTGCTCAGTGGATCCCCAAACTTCAGTCCAGTCAAATCTCGCAAATCAAGTCTTACATCAGGTTGGTGAACATGAACTCTAGGGACATGAGGCTAATCAGGTCGAGGTCTCAAAAATTCGTTCCGCAGTCCAAATCAAAATATCACGACATTAACAGCGTCTAGCACGGCCCGCACGCAGCCCGTTGCCTCCTCTTTGGATGGTTTGGACTTTGACGCTCGGGAAGAGGAATCAACACATCCCAGCTTTCAAGGTTCGCAAGCTTGCTGAGCTAAATGCAAAGGTGCTAGTTAACCACTATCGTTAAAACTAGTCAGGTGAATTCGCGGACTATCTATCCACGCTGGAAATAGGCTGCCACATTATTCCTCGTTGACTCCCCGGCTCACGTCAACTGTGCCAGCAACGGCCAGGCTCCAGAGAAAATGCCTTGCTGTTGTAACCAAGGGCGGGTCTTGAGTTTTGATTTTTGGAAGCTGGGATCAACCGTCTTGAAAGATAACGCAAACGATTCATGATGATGAACTATGTATCAAGCCGTTTGGATTGATTGGAGGAGAATGCCAATCGTTTCGTCACAGGCGGGTTTCAAGCTCGCCTGGTTTTATTTCCATTTTTGAGTTGTCGTGGCTTGAAAGTTGCAGATAATCTGGACCTTGGATCCAACATCTCCGATTACCGAAATTGAGTGCCGACTTGGCCAGCGTACCTTCGAGTGTGCGTGAAAAGGTACGCGATAGTTATCCATGTCGTCAAATTTTCCTGTTGCTAGTTCTACAACTAGAATAGATAAATTTGATTCTTGCTCCTGTGAAGAAAATTTGACGTAGAAGAACATTGAAATGAATCAAAGCTTTATTTCCAAGGTGTCAATCAACAAGATTTCCAAATAACTATTTACGTATACACCAGCAAGTCTAGACAAGATTTCCAATCCATGCACGGGCGCATGCATAACTTAGGGCCATGGGGTGAAGGTGCTGCAAAATTTTATGAAACATGAAAAGGACCAGATATGCTCAATATAAGATAAAATAACACAAAGGGGGAACAATTAATACTGAGCGGAAAGGGTGAGGGAGTAATGTAGATAATGCAAAACATACGGGATATGGGGGATATTTAAGCAGCAAGCGTTCAATGATACCCATTACAAAAGCAGAGGGACAACTAAGTGAATGATATTGCCTCTAAACTCCATCGCTAAATGACCTAAAAGATGCATATTAGAATATCCCTGATGTAAGAAAAAAGGGTATGAAGCGGAGTGAAATTGGAAATAACAAGATGGAAAAAAGAACTGAACACACTAAGCAAGACAAGTATAAGGGGGCGAATACTGTGAGCAGGAAGCTACTGATCATCGATGACGACTTGATGAATCTTGAATATGATGATCGTTAGCATGCTTGTTCCAATTGCCAAATTTAAATCATACAACTTTTCAAATGAACAATAGTAAGAAATGATACGTTTCCTTACCTCTCACTACCAAAAATGGCATCCAATTGTCAATGCATTCACTTTGAGATATATCCAAGACTCTCAAGAATCGCATTTGTTTCATTGGCGGGCAAACCACACACCCCCAATGCCCTAACTTGGCTCCCCTTTCTCAACCGCTGTATGCCGAGGGCCACTTTCCAAGCTTCAGTCTCATTCAGGATGAAGACATACTTCTTTCCCTCCTGGTCTCTGATGCTTGCACGCACGACATGAAACCCGCGCAACTCCGCGTTCTGCAAAATTTCTCCATCAATCATACTGTCATTGCGGCTTCTCATTCCAGAAGACGAAGCCCCAAACCGGCACTTGTTCTTGCAACACCTCTGCAGGTCTGCGAGATGCGCATCGGATTCCTCACTGCTGGGAACCCTATGCGCATACGAAGAACTGAACCGGAAGGGATTTATCTTCATTGGGTTTTGACGTGTAGGAGGATTATTCGCACCAAGCTGGGGGCACCATACCTCTACAAGCTTCATTGTCCATGCCTTGACGTCCCATTCGCGCTGGGCAACGCCTCTAATGTCATCGTCTACAAACATTCCTTCTGTGGTGATGCGTAGGATTAAGCCATCGGTCACATTCCCTTTGCCTGAAACCAGTTGTCCAACGGGCGTCCTCATAAAAGCATTGTTGAATAGATACACGCCAGTAATAATGACCTTGTCGGGATCCTTTGTGGAGTATGGTCCTCGTCGAGATGGTGGCGGGGTTGTCCGTGCTGTCGATTGCGAAGGAGCATAGGATGACTCTGAGAATACTGACGGGGCGGAAGGTTGATCCCTGGGTCGATCGTAAGGGCGAAAGGAGTATGCATCATCTTCACATTCTGTTTTGGCACTGGGGAATGGTGGGGATTTTTTCTGGGGAGATGGTGTTTTTGGAGGAGATTTTACAGATTCTTCTTGCTTGCGAGATTCCGCTGCCTTCTTCACCGACTCCGCTCGTTTCTCCGCCGCTAGCTTCTCTGCTGCGAGCTTTTCGGCGAGTTTTTCAGCCGCTGCCTTCTCAGCGGCTCTCTTTGCAGCTGCAGCTTCTCGAGCGGCCGCAAATCTAGCAGCCGCTTCCGCTCTGACTTGTTCTTTGATGGCTTTCTCCGCTGCCTCCTTCTCTGCTGCCTCCTTGGCAAGTCGTTCTTTTTCTCTCTTCTCCTTCCACTCACGAAATTCCCTTTCCCGTGTTTCCTTCTCCCGTTGCCTTTGTTTCTCTTTTTCTTCTTCCTCCCTTTTCTTCCGGAATTCCTCCATTTTCCGTCTTATATCCTCCTTTCTTCTTGTTTCCTCTCTAGCCTTTTCCCAGTTCTGGTTTTTCGTTTCTGGGGTAGCCCCTCCAGATGGTTTCGGCGGGGTCTCTGGGGAATTAGGTGGTCGAGACGGGCCATCTCCTCCCGGGCCTGGGTGTGTTCCAGTTTCATGTGCATAGTGATTGCCACCAGAGTATGGACCACCAGAGTATTGCCCACTAGGATGTGATCCATTTGCATAACCGTCTGTATACTGGCCATTGAAATTTTGATAGTGAGAGCCTCCACCAGGAGTATGATTGGGACCTGATGAAGGAGGGGTTTCGTGGTGCGTGCCGTGGGGAGCGGTGCCTCCCGCCGGAGGGGTCCTCGGGGTACCCCGTGGTGGCGGCTGGGGTAGATCTGTTTGTGACCTACCCCATGCCCAGCTGCCAACTCCAACAACTACGATAAGCATTAGAACGCCCGCACCGCTGCTCTGTGCAACTGTTGAAACCCAAGCCTTTAGCATTGGCAATACATATGTGTACAATGCCACCCCGAATAAAGTGGCTGTAACTCCTGCTAAAAAACTATTTGTATGACACTGCAGAGAAGGTAGGTATATGAATCCGGAGCCGGACGAATGAGGAGGAACAATGAAGATATCATAGGGACCTTCCGGAAGGTCTGTTGATTTGCGATATCCACCGTTTGCATTGGGCGGTGGACCACCCCCTGGTGGACTACCATGAGGCGGTGGAGGAGGAGGCGGGGGTCGATCCATTGCAATAGAACGTCGTATATCTCTAATGATAAGGTCTTGGATGTTGTGATATGTTTTAATATAGTTCGAGCGTAGGAATAGATAAAAGTCTTGTGCGCTCTGGGACTCTCCTCCCCAATCCTTCCTATGGTGTTTGAAGAGTCTGTACCAATTGAGTTCCAGGGGCAATGGGCAACACCTTCATGATCAGAGTGGCCTTGGGGTGGCACCTGGGCCCCAAATCTTTATTAGCACTTTGGTTAATTGGGGGTTTGTGCTGACAGGGCGTAGAACGATCACAACTGGTCTACAGAATCGTGGTATGAGATAGAGAGGCGGTGTATGTGCAAGGCAGCAGCTGACCTGGGTAGAGAGGCCCTTTTTCCGGTCGGCTGAAGAAGCGTGGGAGGATATTATTTAAGTACTTGCAATACAAAAGTAGGCTGCAGTGGGCATAAATTCGTTAAACCCAAAAATCATCCTAGGACACCAGAACCAGACAAACACCAGACACCAGAAGAAAATAACAGAAGAGAGGGCCAAAGTTGAGAATAGAGGAAGAAATGAATTCACCAGTCTGGAATATTATCGTGAGATTCCCGAGCCAGCCAGTCTCGAAGCGAAGGTACGCAGTGTTGGCCAGGAACCAGGCTCTAGGCCGTGGCGAGGTATGACAGAGGCACACACAGTAATCGGGCACAGTAAAACTTGTGGAAAAAAAAAAAAATGAGGTGTTGACAAAGAGATAGATGGGTGGAAGTAACTAACTAACAGAATTTATTATGACTGTCAAATTTCCTATTAAATATTGAGATGTATGCAGATTTGGGATCAATGTTGTTCAACCGTGTGAAAAATAATGAGGCTGTTGTCAGTCTGCAGAATTGCAAACTGTCAACTCATCTGTAGTTCACTTGAGCGCAGTCAGTAGTCGCCTGGGAAACTCTAGAGTCCCGCCCAACTGAACCGACGCTGACAACCTCCCAAGAAAAAAAAAGCAAATATGGAAAATTGGATTGATTCACTGGTTGCAGCGCGCGTTGCATGTGTCTTTCTCAGACGGAAATTATTACAATTCGATTGTTTCCTTGAGGTCATGCTGAAGCCCAAGAATTCCGTTTACTCTCTATTTCCTGCTGCCGCCCCTTTTTTTTTATTTATCTCCGTTGTGCCCTCACCGATCTCTCACCACCCGCACTCTCTCCCCTTTAGACTGGAGAGTGATATTTTTGTCTGCAAACAAATATTGCCCGGGGTCTTGTCAGGCAAGAAGCAAGGGTCTTGTTTGTTTACATTTTCTATTCAATTCGCGTGTTAGAGGAGGATGCCCAATTAGCACGCGAGCTCTTAAGGCTGCTGTTTTCCTTTGTTTTGTCGGTGAGCACCAGAATGTTCCTCGAGCAGGGCTTTCATCCATCATCGATTGGCCAGTTCCTTTGCAAACGGAGGTCACCATGCAATTATAATTAGGCCCCATTCCAATGCTTCCACCCAGTATAAGTGGATGACTGACGCCTGCATACGTAGTAGAGAGATACAAACCTTCCATAACGACGGGCTTTTGCGCTCTACTTCGGCTTGTCTTTCCCAGTGGATATGCTACATCCATGGATGATATGCACTCTGCATATTCATCATCATCATCATCATCATCATCATCATTTGGACCCTCTTGTCATGGATATTCTCTCTCGGCCTTTCTCATGTTCGTTGTTGATTTGTTGACGTTGACGTTGTTTACTTTTTTCTCTTTGAATCCAAGCGTGTCTTGGCACATCCCGTGATCCGTTTCCCCACGCTAACGTTTGATGAACATCGACATGTCACATGTCATTGAAGCGAACTGAATCTTTTATCTAATTTAGAACAACAACAGAAAGAAGACAGATGACGTTTTTTATGTCTCTGATACCCTATTAGATATTCAGAAGGGAGAGAGAAATACAGCCCAGATGTTCAGATGTCCAATGCGAAAAGATGCACGATCCAAAAAACTTTCATCAGTTTTAGTTAAATAATGCAAAAGCTTCAGTAATAAAGCAGTCGAGCTTGCTTGAGATTCAATGAACCCTCTGTATTGCACGCTCTGGTCATTAGCCGGCCTGATAAATATAGAAGAAAGCTTACACGTTCTCTTTCTTTAGGCTCTGATCAGCTCCCTGTGATCAACGAAAACGCCCCAAATTTGGGGGGGACAGTTAAAGTTGAGGACAAGTTCCCCCATAACTGATGATTTTAATTATGAGTGAAAAAAACCTTCTTCATCTGCTCGATATCTGTCTGGAGTACAACAACACGATGGCTTTTTAACTATTATCCTAATAAAAAGAGAGTAAATAAATAATAAACAAATAAATAAGAGCAAATAAATGCACAACACATCCTGTCGGTCAGAATGACGCTCATGACTGATGACTACAGGGATAACCCTGGAGTTCACCGCAGCACCGTCCGCAAGCTCGATTTTATCTTACTCCCTTTCCTATCTGCCTTATTTCTGGTTAACTCCCTCGACCGATCCAATATCGGGAATGCCGAAACTGCTCATTTCACCCGTGATGCAGGGCTTCAGCCAGAAGATCTTAATACTGCTGTTGCCTGGTTCTATGTCTTCTTTGTTACGTTACAGCCCCTTGGAGCGGCCGCGGGGAGGAGATTTGGAATAAGTAGATGGGTCCCGAGTGTAATGACGCTTTGGGGGTTATGTACCTTATCACATATATGGGTCCGGAAAAGATGGCAGCTTATTACGCTGAGGATCATGCTTGGGACACTTGAAGGTGGGTTCTTATTTATCAGTTGGTTCTCAGTTGATTTTTGGAGATTTATCTTCGTTTTGTGTTCGTTGCCATGACTAGAAGTTTACGTTTTGATGGAAGGGTGGTTGTATTGATGCCACAATATTTCTAACATCGATGCTTTTGCAGCTGGCTTCTACCCCGTTGCGGTATCCTACCTCTCACTATTCTATACCCGCTTCGAGTTTGGACGTCGACTAGGACTTTTCTACGGCTCGTATGGAATATCCGGTGCGCTTGGAGGTGTGGTCGCGTTCATCGTCTTCTCTCTTTTTCCGCCAAGCGAGGACCCAAAAGACAATACTGCCGCGTCTTCAGATACCATAAAACCATGGCAAGTACTCTTCTTGGTCGAAGGGTGCTTAACAATTGTCATCGCAATCATTGGATTTTTCTGGTTGCCCCGAAGTGCCGGGACTGCATGGTTCTTCAAAACGGAAGAGAGAGCTTGGGCAGAGCAGCGTATACTCATTGATCGAGATGTCGCTGATTACCCAAGACAAGAAGCTTCTGTAATATTGTCAGATGAGCTTTCACAAGGAAGAAGCCGAAATTCCGATGAACAGCAACTTCGCCTTTTACCGGAAGATGACAATACCTTGATGCCCCGGGATAATTCTCACTACTTATCAGATGCTGGATTATCAAAGTCGGAGCTCCTGTCGACGGTCCTCTTCTTGCCTCTAATGCTCCCGATTCTTCTTCTCAATATTGCTTCCGCCATTCCCAACACCGGCTTCTCCGTTTTCCTTCCAATCATTCTATCTTCGCTCCAACTTTCCTCTCCAAGCCTAAGTAACCTTCTCACCGCACCTCCGTTCCTCCTTGCCACTATATTCCTCTACATATTCAGTCACTGGAGCGACAAGTCCCGGAAACGTATCTTTCCAATATTAGTCAGCCTCGTGGTGATAGCTGTCGGTCTGATTCTTACTGTCCTTATCTCATCACCCACCTCGTCACTTTCCCCGATCAGGGCTATGGCTCTTTATTTCTCCTTGTGTGTGCTTCTGAGTGGAAGTTACATCCCCAGCCCGTTAACTGTGACCTGGCTGGCAAGCAATATACCTAATCCTGGCAAACGAACTATTGTTCTGGGGATTAACGGGTACGGAAATCTAGCAGGCGTCTTTGCATCTCTCATCTTCTCTCCGCGTTTCCGGGCAGATTCTTATCGAATTCCCTTCCTCATAACCTTGGGTTTCGTTCTGCTCAGCTTCGGGGGATTTATGTTTCTGCGGCTAGTTCTACGCATTATCAATGATGCCAGAGCTAGGATGTCAGCGACCCTGGCTGCGGAGGTTCGAGAGACTAATTATTCCGGCTCAGGCGGCAACTGGAGTTTAGTTGGAACAGGTGAGATTCCTTCATTTGTTGTTGTGGGTGGGACATGGTGGGATTCGCAAGTGAGGTACTGGTTTGGTAAAAGATTATTGGGAATGGATGAAAATGATACACGCCTTAGACGAGGAGATGAAGGGCTCACATTTCAATATGGACTTTGAGGTTTCTCTTTCTCCTTTTTAATAGATGCATCATTCTTAATGTTAATAGGAGGATACTGGACACCCGCAAGACTCTGGAACGATGTTACGACACTTATTGAGCCTCCGTTGTGACATTGTTAGCGTAGAGTGGTTTCACTTAAGACCGGTTAAAGATATCCAACGTAGTTATAGAGTAGTTATGCACAGGTTCAAGTGAGCGAATCATACAACCATTCCTATAGCAACTAAACTTATGCTTAAAGCATGACATATGCCCCCGTCTTAATGGCCATGTGCATTCTAAACGATCTATGGATGGGTGGTGATATCTATCTCCATTTGGCGTCTGCCTAGGAAGATGTATTTATTGCACAGCCTTGGATATACATGTTTAGCATCTGTAGACCCCTAAATCCAGCAAGGATCCACATCATCACTGCTAATCTGTTGAATGTGTAAATTCTGTAGGCAGTAAAATTTAAATAAAGTGCTTGGTAATTCCTTGGCCAGGTACCATCTGGTTGTTATCTTCGCCCAAAAGGTACATGTGCCTTTGGCATGTGGTCACGGAGCCGGCATAATACTCTACCGGAGGCGTAGGGCTGTTTTGATTGGCCCGTGTTTTCTCAACATCAACGAACCATCCATGAGCTGCATCATTCCGTCGAGTCACTGTCCGTGTCCCAGGGAGTGACGGTGACTTGTTTACTCCATATTCTCTTCTTGCTTGTTTTCTTTTCAATGCAGCTCCCCTAGTTCTCTGTGCAGTTTTCCGTTCGCTGCCCCTCCGTGGGCGTCCTCATCCTGATTCTTCACCGCCTTGTTGCCTTCATCCTCCCGCAAACGTTTTGATCAACCTACGATCTCCCTTCTTTCTCATTGGTATCCTGCTCTGCGCTTGGTTCTGGATAGGCCAATCGAATACTCGTGATGGCAATGACTGCACCGCCAGCTGGAACCTTTGTCCCGGGGACGAAGGTTCAAGTTGGAAACCACCGCGTTGTTATCGAGAAATATCTCTCTGAGGGAGGGTTTGCGCATGTATATGTCGTCCGCCTCCCGCAGCCGATCGATGGCGCTGAAACTGCCGTGCTGAAAAGAGTTGCTGTTCCGGATAAAGTAGCTTTGGCAAATATGCGGACCGAAGTCGAAACAATGAAGAAACTGAAGGGACATCGGCATATTGTGAAGTACATTGACTCCCACGCATCCCAGTTAAAGGGTGGTGGGTATGAGGTGTTTCTTCTCATGGAATTCTGCGCCGGAGGTGGCTTGATTGATTTTATGAACACTCGGTTGCAGAATCGCTTGACCGAACCGGAGATCTTGAAGATCTTCTCCGATGTTGCCGAAGGAACGGCCTGCATGCACTACCTGAAACCACCCCTACTGCATAGAGATCTCAAAGTCGAGAACGTCTTAATAGCCCTGAATGGGAATTCATTTTGCTACAAGTTGTGTGATTTTGGCTCAACAGCGCCACCACGACCGGCAGCTTCGACTGCTGCCGAGGGAAGGCTAATAGAGGATGATGTCCAACGCCACACCACCTTGCAGTATCGGAGTCCAGAAATGATTGATGTTTATCGAAAACAGCCAATCGATGAGAAGAGTGACATATGGGCATTGGGTGTCCTGTTATACAAACTCTGTTATTATATTACACCCTTCGAAGAGGTTGGGCAAATGGCCATCCTTAACGCCAAGTTTAAATTCCCCACATATCCGCCTTTTTCCGACAGATTAAAGATGCTCATAGGTGCGATATCTAAGATCCTTTTGAAATAACTTGTGGTTCTGATTTTCTAACGATCTCTTCCATAGCCTCTATGTTACGAGAAGATCCTCGAGAAAGACCCAATATTTATCTAGTGTTGCGCGAGGCTTGTCTCATGCAGGGCAAAGAGGTACCAATCAAAGACGTAGGTAACGCATTTTCTTTAGTGTTTATTGATGAAATCGCGTTTTACTAACGTCTCCAGATATATTCTGGACGATCACAATCTGAGGCAAGACGTTACCAACAGTTGCCACCGTCTCCAACGGGGACACCCAAGATAGGGGCCGTATTTTCACCACCAATGCAGGAGACGCAGATTATTCCCGACATTGCCCCCATGAGGAGGGGAAGGCCAACGAAGCCTGCCTACCATCACAATTCATCCAAACCGAGCCCTTCGCCACTAAGAGCCTCCTCAAGCGACCCCTTTGCTGCCCTTGATGGAATCAAACCACCCAACGGAGATGAACTCTCGTCCAGGTTTCCAACCCTTGACGAATTTTCGCTCTTCCACGACCAAGGAACCAAATTTGAATTCGAGCCAATTGTTTCAGAGACCAAACCTGCCACGGAGTATCTTTCAAAGCGAATTACTCATGCTCTCGCAGATGAGGTTTTTGCCAAAGCCAACTCAGCCCCTGCTACCCATAGGAGCCCCGCAATAGGCTCACAATCCAGACACCATGTCGACAATTCTGCACAAGAGAAACTTCCAAAACCATCGCTTGAGTTGGTCTCTGATATCACCCGGCAAGAGACCACCACGCTACACCAACCCGTTCCTCAAAGGCCGGCTATGGTGTCTACTGGCACGATGACTTCTCCTTCCCCACGCCCACGCCCATCAGAGAGCCCGCCTTTTTCACCAAAACCAAAGTATCGATTTCCAAATACCTCGTACGAAAAGAGACCTTCTGGCCAAAAGTGGGAGGATAACGATGAAAAACCACACCGGTCCCGTGATGGATATACTTCACGCACCGGGTTTTTTAAACGGGAATCCGAACACAAAGGTTTTTTCGAAGGCTTGCCAAAGTCTCCTGCTTCTTCTAGACCTTCATTGGAGGGATCTCGACCTTCTGCGCTTGATCTTACTGATTCTACCATCCGCTCCAAATCTGTAAACTCGAAATTCCGACCTGCCAGCACGTACGCTAGGTCGAAACCCGAATACCTTCGCGATCCCGAGAGCCCAAGAGCTTCTTTCGATTCTAGTTTCCTTCAGGGTGGATATGAAGGTGGTGAACTATTACATCACCCACGGTCAGAGATGGACCGTGATTTTGAGCGAGCAAATATATCGTCTGATATTGACTTCCTTCGTTCTAAGGAAGAGGAAGAGATGAACCGAAAACGAGAGAAACGTGCAAGTAGCGGATCAAAACATGTCAAGCGGTCAAGTTTATCTTCAATATCTTTATCTGGTACCAAGAACCTCCTTGCCGGCCGATTCGGTGATGCCTTCCGTCGTTTCGAGCATAATGCATCTCAAGATCGGACAAGCCGAAGTCCTTCCCCTAGTAATGTGAATGCGCGCCTCACCCCAATAACGGGCTCAGAAGTTACAGAGATGAGCGATGATGGGAATGGATTTAACCAAGACGATATTTCTCCTGAAGCGCGTCGTGAGCTGGAGCGACGACGATTATCTCAGGAGGAGAAGCGAGTGGCAAATGCTGCAGCTGAATATCGCCAGCGTTTAGCTGAACGACGAGAGGAGGGAGGACGAGCCGACGGTAGGAGTGATCGAAGAAGATCAGCAATAATTCAGAGCAAGGTCCAGTCACTCCTCAAAGAAAATGATAAACCCCAAATAGCCAAAACGGCCTCAGGCTATGGACGGTACACTGATAGGGACACTGCTTTGCAGGCGAAGCAGTTTGAGCAACCACTACCATCGCGGCCAGTGCCATCAAACGTTCCTCGAAAAACTGCTCCATCACGACAATTCCCTAGTCAGCCTCCCCGACTGCCATCGAAGGACTCACTCTCTGTGGCCCCCGCCACTGCTAGACCGCAGCAGCCAACGTCATCGGAACAGTTCATACCCCGCAACCCCGCCGATCGAAAACCCGCAGCGCCTCCAAAACCACAGAATCTGCGGACTGGAAACCGATCTGATAATCCAACAGCTGCACCTGCCAATGCGCGCACATCGTCTATAGACACTAAGCCAAGGGAGATAAATGGCGATAGGGAGGCGAATTTCAGCAAGCGACACCCAAGTCTATCAGGAATAGAAATGGTGGAGACCGAGATTGGTTTACCCCGAGTAACACCCATGAGAACAAAAGAGGTGTGAAGTTCAGCTCTAATTGGATTAATTTTTAAATTATCCGCTTCCCTTTCTTGTTCCATGCGTCCTGCACATGCGACACCATGACAGTCAGTCTACAAAGTTTCCTCCTTATTGTCGTATTTATAGCCTTGGTCTTTTGATAGATGGAAGAATCATAAATATCATTTTAGCCTGCGCCTCCCATCTTTCCCCGTCCCTTTCCAGTTGCTTATAATATTTCGTTTAGCTTCCCTCTTCACCCCCTCATCACTTGCTGCATTTGTTTCAATAATCATTTCCTTGTTTTTCGTTCTCTTTTCTTTCTCCATTACTTGTTTAGGATATATCTGTGCATGATGCAGTATCGAGTGTATATATTTGCTTACCTGCAAACATTATTTGGTTCGATGGATATTTGGCATTGGTTATAGTTTTACCTTTTTTTTATATTGTCCTTTTCCGACTGCATTCCGCTGCCGGTCAGGGACTCGGATTATTTCAAGGATATGGATAGTGATATAGAAGTACATAGGGCGACGAATGGTAATGTGGATGTTAGCTAACTTTTAACAATTCCGCTGCGGATGGTAATATCAAAATAGCCGTTGCGCTTGACGATACAGAGTGACTGAGTACAGGATTATTTACCATTCCCATGCCAATTCCCCAATTCTCGACATTTTGGGGTCGCCTCCACAACCAGGGACAGAAAACCCTAACTCCCTCCCATGGATGTGTCCACATGTGAACCCGGCGACGAGTTTGCACTTGCGCTTCCTACTGGGTCTAAGGATGACATTTCCAGACTCTCTCCTTTAATCAGCTTCGGGGTTTATTTATGCCAATTTCCCTTAGGATCTTTTGGGAGCCTTATTCGTAATCATTTTACCCTCACTTTGGAACACGCAGCCTCCAATCCAGTCATGCAAATCTGGGGGAAATTTGGACATATCATCATGGGATTTTTGGCCAGGAAAGATGCAAACGTATCGCATAGGCATATCCTATTACTTCGATTTAGTTACAATGGATTTAGCGGCAGATCGTCGGGCCGAAATCATTCAGGTTTAAGTTGTGGGCTTTCATGCGCTAGCCTCATATGGACTAGTGTCCGATACACGTTGAAGCTATCCCAATGATCCATGCCGAGTATTCAAGTTCCTTTACGCAAACGACGACTTCATGAAGTCTGGACTGCAACCTACCATTGAACAGGCCCTGAGATGGCTTACAGGCCATATCAATATTGCCCATTTGTCTAACTAACGAAAAGGTTAGCCTGCTGTGTCCTGGGCGAATGGCGCCGGTAACATTGAACAGCATCGATAGTATGTGCCAGATCAATGCTATATCTTTTCTCCAATCGCAATCTCGCTTCAGAAATATTAACTACCGTTTCTATCTATCCCAACTGGGGATGCCACTAATTGATGCTTTTTCAGAGACATTAAAGATGTTGTACAGCACTTATTCGAGATTCAGTCCGCCATCCACGGATACCTTGGAGCAGAAACTCAGCAGGAGCTTGTACGGAAAATGTAGGTTGTTCTTAGTTTTACGATTATGAGTTTCTCGTCACATATCTATCTTTATCTGCCTGTTGGCGGTGGGGAAAGTTGTTGTGATAATTGAGTATAAATGCGCACTGTCATCCCTTCCCCCCTCAACAGTCGCCAGTACAAGTCAACAGTACACCGAGAAACAGATCGCCTTCTCGTGCGACTTGCCTATTACATCCCTTTTACAAGTCAACATTCTAATCACAGCAACCAACAGAAAATCCCTAACCCTCTCACTATCAACTCTCTCGGAACACTCTCGCCCAGACCCCTCCGCTTCCCCTTCCCAAACCACTCCGCGCATAAACGACCCGGACCCACCCCTTCAATCCGTCCAACTACCACCTGAAATAATAGACTACGTCGACGCAGCACGCAACCCGGACATCTATACGCGAGAATTCGTGGAGCTTGTGCAGCGTGGAAATCAGGATTTGAAAGGCAAAGCGGAGGCTTTTGCAAGTTTTCGGGATGTCCTGGCGAGGGAGATGGTGAGCGCGATGCCTGAGTGTAAAGGAGAAGTAGAGAGGATTCTAAAGGCTACTGGTGGAAGTGTGAGTGGCGAAGATGTTGGCCAAGCTAAGAGTGGAAATGGGGGTTGAGGTTGGGCGTTTATCTTAGTTACGTCGTGTGTCTGACATTATTTCCTTCTCGCTCACCCTTCCCTGGACGTGTGGTTTTGGAAATTGTCACTGTATTACTGGGATCTTGCGGATCTATAGACGGCATATGGGCGTTTCATGATTAGTTTTGAAGACTTACTAGTTTCATTGTTGGTTTGCTATGTACGGACAGGTGTTCATCTGTTTGGGATTTTCATTTGGTTTGCTGGAATCCTGCCGACGATCTATTAGTTATAACAAATTAGCACAAAACAGAAGTTGCAAATTATGGGAATAATTTTCCATCTTTATACATTATCTTTTTCTACAACTCACGATTCATATATATTCAGTGATACCCATTTTAGGTTTGGTCAGGTCCCAGTACGGTTATATATCTCTTGCATCTTCCTGGCGTTAGCTCACGGGGAGTATTGTCCACGATCCATGGATATCAATTTTCATTCAATTTGAGGAGCGTCTCTAGCCAGACTGGCTGCTACATGACTCGCCGTTCAATATTTTGTTGAGTCTAAAATCAATACATATTTACTCCAGCGAAATCGGGGTTTCCACAAAACACTCCTTATACTGGGACCTCATGCGTTCTATTCTGGAAGCCTACATAATATCCTGGATTTCTTAACATTCAGTTTATGCGGCATTGGCACCCATTACTCAATGAACCATCCGATCTGCTAACCTGGATCCTGCACTTTTTGTTTCATAAATATGAAGGTTTCAGCACTTTTAAGAATTAAGTCACAGACAAGGCTTTTTGACAAGATGACTTACCGCTTGAATGCTGGAATAGGGACTAAAATGATAAGTGACGCCCGGGGAGGAAGCTCAGACATTGATAACTGTTCCACAAACAGAGAAGCAGAGATTGGTAAGTCAGTTCTAAATTTGTCTGACTAGTTTATCAAAGTCATATATTGGCTGACTCATAGTCCTCTGGATGCTGAAAAATTGACCTCTCCGCTATGATAATATTAGTTTCTGTTGAAGAAAATGATTTTTAAGCTTGACACTGAAGCTAACCTTGGAAATAGTTGTACATGATACGAAATTAAATGAATCCTGTTGTTCACAATGCCCCTCAGTCTTCCTGTTGTTTTGCAGCTTCCCCCTCAAGAGATTCTGAGCCACCGGCATGTTCTTCAAGTTAAATCTGGAATGCAATATCTTGTCAGCTCCAATGACAGCCCCTCGGTGATACCAATGCGAATTCCGCAAATATGCACTAAATGTGTAACAGCCATTATAAGATAAACTGGAATGAACAAAATGCGCAGCACGAAGCATCTCTGTTATGAGGAGGGGGATTCCCGGCGGACTCAAGTGGCAAGCATTGGAGATTTCTCGTGAAAGAACAATCTAGGCAGGTAATTCCTAATATTAGTTTTAAGGCTGAGATGCTGTGCTACCCAAGATAATATTCATATCCAGTCGCTGTTTTAGATAATGAATGATTAATATTGAGTCGTGGTCAGGGCTGAGATATATGCACGCAGAGATGTCTGTCCACTGAAAGTGGGTCCGGGTACAAGTACATGTACATGTACAGTTCCATACAATGTCTATACGAAGCAGTTGTTTTGGAATAGCCTAATCTCTCGATAACAAGGTAGTTATATGCAGTCATGACAACCTCCAAGGTTCTTAGCGGTCCCTAAAATTAGTTAACCACGCGATTGGCAGACCTTGTCGGAGGTCTTCTTCGCTTGTCAGTTCGTCAGTGCTCAGGGTGAAATAATACGACTCACCGACACGACCAAACCTTGGAAATTTTGTTGCGGTCTTTCCAGCCAGCTGGAATCCTCCTGAAACTCTCAACCTCATTTATGCTAACCACCATCTGTTAAACAAGACCGATAATAAGCACGGCATTCTATGAGGGAAAAGGGATGATTACTTGAGTTTATTTGTTACCACGAGACCATGGCTGCCCGCACTGCGCTATTGTATGTCGACCAGTGTGTCAAAAGACGGAGAATTTGCCAGAGAATCTAAAGCATGGCTGGTTTGTTGATTTGCTCTGGATACTTGCGCAACATCGCTTTTTGGCAACCTCGGCAGCGTTGACATGCATGAAACCCCCCTTCCAAGGTTCCTGTCCGTCACCGTCGGTTGTCTCCGATGACCCAACCTCGATATACCCGCCCCACATGGCAGCTGAGAGGACTGGACCACTTGCATATTACCGAACAGTGTTTGTATTGGCCAGCTGCAGCTTTGGCCCCAGCATATGTTTCTCTCTTTTGTGGAAAATACGCACTGTTCTGCCTAAATATATTTGTTATGACTCGCGGGTATCTAGGGTTGTTTCGCTGCCGTTTCTTTGTACAACTAGTATCCACATGTAGCTGTACCACTGACATCCACTTCTCCTCTATTCCATTGCAGTGGTACCCTATCAATAATAGGAGTTAGCTGCTCTACCATGGCTAAGTTCGAGAGGTTGATTTGGCAGTTTGCAGGTCGATGTTGTGGAAGACAGATAATTGCTCACGCCCACTTTTTAGTCCCCGCCGTTGGGATCATCCGTCACCGTCATTCTTCAAATCATGCATCCTGTCCTTCTCCACGCTTTCTCTGCATTTATCCTTCTATCTTCTTTCACAGTTATCATAAACACCGTCGTTCATGGTTGATACTCTTGCTTCATTTCTCTGTTCCCATTGTTTCCGCCATGATGCCGCTGGCACTGTCCACTCTCTTCTTTAAATCCTATGACCCTCTTCTAGCCTAGCTTTGTGGCTAACCGATTCCCTCCTTCCTCCTCTCCCGGTCAAGGGTGTGTGAAGGAATTTACTCACGGCGATGGGAACAGGCGATGGCGTTACGGGAGCTTACTCCGGCCATTTGGGTACCCAGATCGCGATCGGAGTCTTTCTCGCGATCGGTTGGTACAATGCTATCGAACTATGCGCTCTGGTCTTTATAGCCTTTAACACATATCGAGGCCTGTACTTTTGGAGTTTGCTTCTTACGGCTCTCGTCGGAGTTGTGCCCTATTGCATCGGGTTTCTGCTAAAATTCTTTGAGTTGATGGAATCGATCTGGCTGGCAGTTGTTCTGCTATCGTGTGGCTGGTGGGTTATGATAACGGGCCAGTCGTTCGTTCTCTATTCCAGACTGCATCTGGTCTTGCGAGATGAGAAAGTTCTTCGCCGTGTCCTGTGCATGATCATCGTCAACGTCTTCATCCTCCATGTCCCTACTACCATCCTCACTTTTGGTTCTAATTCCAACTCAAAGGATTTGTTTGTTCCTGCCTACAATATCATGGAGAAGATACAGATGACAGGGTTCTGCATTCAAGAATTTATCATATCCACTCTCTACATATGGGAAACAGTGGATATGTTGAAGCTTTCTCCCGATAATGGAAACAGAAAGATCATGTATCAACTGCTAGGCATCAACCTGATCTTTATTTTGATGGACATTGGGCTTCTTGCAGTGGCATATGCGAACTTATACGTCTATGAAACAACACTCAAAGCAATGATATACAGCGTCAAGCTGAAACTAGAATTTGCGGTTCTTGGAAAGCTAGTGCACTTGGTCAATTCCCATTCATGGAGCCCAGAATTCTCCACAGGACCAAATGGATATCCAGATTTTGTTGACCCCAACCGCATCACTTCCGATGTCTCTCATGCCCCGAGAATCACTGCCCCTACTCCTAAGCCACCATGGTTGCAATCAGAAGACGTTACGGACGCAACTATGATCGTGGCAGATCTCCCCGACAGACGCCCAAGCACCTACACTGCAGAGCATTCTGAAACGGATGCCTCGTTGGCCGGAGTGACACAGACTGCACCAAGTAACCCGAACACCACCTCAACGTCACTCCATTTCCCACCGCCATTACCTCGCGAGAAGAAACCCGAATCAAATTACCCAGAATCAAAATGGCCGGATTGATACGTCAATGACGATTTGGTGGAATTGCTATCCTGAATTATGTTTCATAAAATACATCAACAGCTATATTTCTAGATTGAAAGATCAATCTCGTTATGCCTTCCTAGATATCCCAACCTTGGTATATATCAAGAGGACCTGCTCGTACCATGAGAGCATCGCAATTTGTTTCCGATGCCCTTCCATACCAGCACAATTAGTCGAGAGATCCGATGAGGGAAGACGAAGCCGATGATACTCCTAGGGGGAGACACTTCACTTCGCCAGTTATGATATACGTGGGAAGATGGCGAATATTTTGGTTATTGTGACATAGGATGCGACGCGAATGTGACAATGTTGCACACGAATATAGGTAAGCGATGACCACCATATGCGTGACATGAAAGAGAAATGACACGATATCATATAATATTTCTTCTTTTACTTTCTTATCTCTCACTTCTAATTAATTTCCCATCTTCAATTCCCCTTATAATTTCTTACAATGATTAGCACTTTTTTGACAACTTGTTTTAATCGGAAACAAACCTGCCAGTTTTATTTCCTATATATGCATAATCCCCTTGTGGGCTTTCCTATGGATGGAAACATGTATGAATACTCCGAAAACGCTTCTTGAACCTACTCTCTATATATGTATTCTATACTAGATAGATCTATGTACCTATTTTTGATATCTCGCATACAAGGTTTAATCCAGCTAAACGAATCAACAATCTACATTCATTATTGAAAAGGGGGGGAGGGAAATGATAAGGATAAGGGGATCTATCAACTACATCTATGGGTGTGTGTATTCAGAAGGTACCTATAACTAGGTTCCCAGGGAAAATAGATATGTTGTTCCATGGTCATGCTTGTAGAATCCAATTATACTCGCCTAAATTACCTCATAGTGATAACACTCGCTCCTAACAAACCGCAAAACTTGGACCAATCGTGCACATCAATCCCAATATATTGCACTTCTACCATACGAATCGCGGTGCCGCGGAGCATCTAAATTGGCATTACCGCAACACCACGGGTGTGTCGTATCAAGATGTTATTGAAATTGTATTCGAGGAATAGGCAAGCTAACTTGAGGCTGGTATTTCGACGGCATCTTGTATGTTTCCATTCATATATATATATATATATATATATAGCTAAGGCCGTTGGAATCAGCGAGATAGTTACCCAACGACTGTGTTCTTTAACTACAGCTGAGCATTGAAGTTGGTGTGAAACGGCACTTCTGTGTTTGTGCTAATAGAATATTGATTTCGAATAAATCAGCCGGACAAATGCATCAACAGTGATATGAAATCTCCCTCAGATCCTTTTTATTTCATTGCAGGCATTTAAATAAGTTAGAGCAAAGAGGAAATGACGGGTATGATAAAAACACATGTTGAGGATCCATGTAGCAAATGAAGTACCTGGATGAGTTAGTCATGCGGCAATCAAGATCAAGGAGCCAAAGTTTCTTGCCGCACAAGAAACTCCACCCAATAATAACTAGCAGTCAACCCGGAATCGTAACCTCATAAAGCTGGGTAGATTGTTTCAAAGTCAATTTCTGAATTAGCTCTGACGCAGCGGACGGGTTGCTGCCAGTTAATTATATAGAGCGGCTTTTAGAGTGTTGACAAGAATTCAGGACTGTGGTAAGTTAGCAAGTTTAAGTTAAGCTCAGATCTTGGTCAAGGCATAACTGAAATTTGCGACTTACTGCCGCCCCTTTCCGCCCTGTCTGTCTTATTCTCGTGTCTCAGGACAAAACCCAACCTCTCTCAAATGGCGACCTCCACTGCTCTGTAGATTTATTCTCCTGAGACGGAGCAGGATTTCCAGGCCATGTCTCCAGCTATGGCCAACCCCAGGGTTCGGAAGTTCAATCCGATCGCGTTCACACCCTTGCCAGTCACCTTTATCACAACCATCGTCTATCTTGCGGTTCTTATCCTGGTCCTGGTCACGTATCTTGTCGTTCCTCCCGCTCCGACTCTGGAAATGAGTCCTAAGGGCGTGAACCTTACAGAAGCTTGGAGGGATCTCCAGCATCTAACCGAAGGTTTTCACCCTTACAATAGTCGGAGAAACGATGACGTACACGCATGGCTCCTCCATCGGATCGAGGCGATTGTTAGAGAGTCCGCCGCTGCTGACGGCGGACCGGAGGTTTTTGTCTTTGATGATAATCTGTCCAATTTGACTTATTCTAACGGTGGAGTCAGCAAATCTCCTATCGTGGGAGTCTATTTTGAAAGCACGAATATTATCGTGTATATACGAGGGAGCGAAGATGATCCGCAGAATTGGTGGGAGTGGTCGAATGGAAAACCGAAGGGAAAAGGAGGGGTTTTGGTGAACGCACACTACGACAGCGTCTCAACGGGATACGGTGCCACTGATGATGGGATGGGGGTTGTGAGTCTGTTGCAACTTCTCAGATATTTCACGACCGCCGGCAACAAACCGCGGAAGGGTCTGGTATTGTTGTTCAACAACGGCGAGGAAGACTATTTGAACGGTGCCCGCGTATATAGTCAACACGCAATGTCGAATTTTACCCATACATTCTTGAACCTTGAAGGTGCCGGGGCTGGAGGACGAGCTTGCCTATTCCGATCCACGGATACGGAGGTTACCCGATTTTATAAGAACGCCAAACATCCATTCGGTTCCGTGCTTGCTGGCGACGGGTTTAAGTTGGGCCTTATTCGTAGCCAGACTGACTATGTCGTGTTCAATGGCGTTCTAGGGCTGCGAGGGCTGGATGTGTCCTTCATTGCTCCCAGAAGCCGATATCATACGGACCAGGATGATGCCCGGCACACCAATGTTGATTCTCTGTGGCATATGCTCTCTGTTGCCATAGGGACCACAGAAGGACTCGTGTCATACACAGGAACTGATTTCGATAGCAAAACAACAGACCAAGACAAAGTTAACAGTGGCGGTGGCACGCTTGGTGTCTGGTTTGACATTTTTGGATCCGCCTTCGCGGTTTTCCGTCTCCATACGCTATTCGCACTCTCTGTTACGCTGCTTGTTATTGGCCCGTTGGTCCTGTTCATCACAAGCATCGCTCTATCTAAGACAGACAGAATGTACTTATTTTCGATGTCGAAGTCGCTGGGAGGTGCTTCCGAAACAGTCTCTTTACGTGGCCTCCGCGGTCTATTTCGTACCCCTATCATATTAACTGTGACAACGGTCATTTCCATCGGTTTGGCGTACTTGCTCGAGAAAATTAATCCTTATATTGTGCATAGCAGCCAATTTGCTGTGTGGAGCATGATGCTGTCTGTGTGGATATTTGTGGCTTGGTTCTTAGCCCGTGTCGCCGACTTTTTCAGACCCTCTGCTCTTCACAGAGCCTATAGCTATACGTGGATATTCATTGTGACATGGATCATGTTAGTCATCAGCACGGTATATGCAAACCAAAAAGGCATTGCTGCCGGATATTTCACATTCTTCTATTTCGCTGCTGTGTTCCTAGCAACCTGGGTGTCGTATCTAGAGCTCTTTTCTCTTCCACGAAAGGGATATTATGCTCGCCAGGCCAGCAGACGTCAGAGACGGCGCTCAAGTAGCCTCAGTAGCAGGTTACTAACCCCTTCTGCTGATGAACTACCATCCGATATTGGCCCGAATGGGGCTGAAAACGTAGGAGATCCAGACGAGACCGACCCCACAGAATCTACCTCCCTGCTTCGAGGCCAGCGAACTACGTTTGCGAACTATCGAACTGGCGGTGATGATGGGGTCACGGAATACACAGCAGAGGATGAACATGTCCGAGAAGCCAGTATATTTGGACATGAACAGTCATGGAGCTGGACATTACCCAGATGGACGTGGATATTACAACTCCTTCTTCTAGCTCCCATTGTTATTATTCTCGTCGGACAAGTTGGTCTTCTCTTGACAACTGCAATGAGTCAGATCGGCTCAGATGGGGTTTCAACCTTCATTGTCTATTTAGCCTGTGCCTTATTCTCTACTCTCCTATTTGCTCCTTTGCTCCCCTTCATCCATCGATTCACGTACCATGTCCCGATATTTTTGTTGCTCATCTTTATCGGTACTCTAATTTACAATTTGGTGGCATTTCCCTTCTCTCCTGCCAACCGTTTAAAGATATTCTTCATCCAGGAAGTCAATTTAGACGATGGCACAAACAAAGTTTCTCTCACCGGCATTCAACCATATCTTACAGATACAATCAACGCTATACCAAGCGCCGCTGGTCAAACTGCTAACTGCACCCAAGGTCCATTCGGTTCTCTCGTGAGGTGTTCCTGGAGTGGACTACCCCCACGTGTTGTCAAAGAAGACCCTGGAAACGATCAGACCATGGGGCCGTATACATGGATATCCTACAATATTACGAGAACGGTGGGCAAAAATGAAGCACGCATCAAGGTATCCGGCCGGAACACACGGGCCTGCAAACTTAAGTTCGACAACCCAGTCGCGGACTACCGCATCTCTGGCTCTGCAGTTGACCACCGGCTTCCACACACTTCTCGTCAAGGTGTGGAAGAAATCAGACTATGGACTCGAACCTGGGAGAATACTTGGGTTGTCGATGTGGACTGGCATTCTAATCCTGTCAATCCGGGAGAATCCAAGGATGGTGACGAAAAACAAGACGTGTCCAAAAATGAATTGAGCGGTAAAGTCATATGTTTGTGGAGCGACAATAACGAGTCAGGTGTAATACCAGCGCTGGATGAAGTGCGGTTATATGCGCCTGCCTGGGTTGCCATTTCAAAATCGGCAGATGGTCTTGTTGAGGCCAGTCATGACTTCATCATTCAATGAAGCTATTGATATGCTGGCGACAAGAGTTGATTCTTTTTCCTCTTGTCTTGGCCTTTCTCTGTCCGACACATTACTGTGTATGTACATGTACATAATGCACGTTTTTGTTTCCATTATTTGCGTGTTGATATTACCACCAACCAAGGCTTTGGATTTCAAGCTCCTTGACCTGGACTTCAGTGATATCTATTGTATTCATGCGTGAGATCCAACGTGGCAGCTGGTCGCCTCTATCATTGCCCATCGCCACCCACAGCTCCCAAATTCACCTCTGTTTTCCCGGGTTTTAACACATCATCGACTCTCTAATGGATAACTGGTAATTGTGGGTAATGTCAAGATCTGTTGATTGGGATCCTACTTAGGTCTAGGAAGCCGGCGTTCGTATCTGTCAAACGCCTTGATTTTTCATTTGTTCAACCTACTTAATGACTTTTTCTGGCTGAGAAGTCTGCTTCCAAGTTTTCAATAGGGGCAAAGGTCCCTCCTATAGGGATAAGTACTGTCCGATGACGACTTGCTTCCTGACGTCTAAAGGAGAAATGGATTTGCATACACTCGCATTTGAAAGAAGCATCCGACTCTGAAATGAAGGAATTTCGTCTTTCACCTTCGGGTTGTTGACAATATCAAGCCAATAATCGGTTGCTCATCCCATATCTCGTTTATATTAATTAGCTTTCAGAAAATGGAGCAGGTACACATGCCTAGATTGCCCCACAATGAGCTTTTATAATGTTTCTGCCTGGTGAAGTATATTCCATCTTACTCTCTTTGTCTCCGTCCTCGAAGACATGTATTTCAGGAACAATCCATGGAGATTCATAGTTCTTTATTTTTTCTGTTTTGCTGGTGTCTTCCAATCAATGCATACAGATGGCAGCAATTGGTTCTTTCATTATGAAGTCTTTTGGCTTTCACAAGATTTCATCAGAGCAGACCTCAATTATTGCATGCATTATATCTATTCTATGAAGAATACATGAAGAGATGTTCAGCATCCTTCATATTATCCATTGTAATGCAGAGCACCCTCTAATGGGTATAGTCCAACGCCGAGAACTACCATGAGGCTCAACACAGCTGTTGGTAATCTTGCTCAGCTTTTTTTGGACTTCTCTTCTACACTTTTCTGCTAGCATACAATGCCCATCTCCTCTGATTCTTTTGCCCCTTTCGTTTCAATCGTTTCCATCACTGTGGGAATGTGCTGCTTCATAGTTTGGAATTCATCGTACCGTCGTTTCGGCGAACCCTTGATCCAACCACCAAAATGGAGGCACTCCATCCAAGACCTCATTACTTAACCGGTCACCTTCCCTCTCCGCGCATGCTTAATAGTGAAATCCTGAAATCTCCCGGTCCACAAATGGATCTACAAGAAGCCGTTTACACGCTGGCTGGTGCAGTGCTATTTGCCAAGCACTCTCAATTCGTCGAATCTCTGGAGGAACACTGTGACCTCCTTCGCCGTGGGGCCTCTCTCATCCCCCGTGCGCCTGTGTGGTTCAACATCGGATCCCTATGGGCCTTAGTAGGTGACATCCGTCGAGCGAAGGACGCCTACGAACTGAGCGTCAACGAGGATCGCGAATTCACCATCTCATGGTTTTGCATAGGGACCTGTTACTTTCTCCTAAGGCAGTACGGCGAATCGGAGGATACGTTCCGCAAATGTTTGGCAACCTTCAAAATCTTTCGCTCTGTTAAATTCTTCGATGATTACAGTCTGGATTTCCTTCTTGCGAAGGATGATGTGATGTGGAATTGCAACGTTGCAAAACGATATTCAAAAATTCAGCGTGCACTAGTCAAACCAGAAACGAGCGGTCTGAAATTACGTCGCGACCACTTCAACCTATTTCTCGGGCCCCATAAAGACTCCTTCAAGATGGAACAGGGGGTTTCAAAAACATGTGGAGCCAAATTTAGAGAGTCCCTCTCGTCGCTCCATCGTCCCGCTGCTAATCGAAAAAATTATTGCTTCAAGCCAACAAATTACACATATGTTGGCTTTCCGGAATTGCAAGAGAATGGCCCAAAGGTGGCTCTCAGAATTCCTGTCTCTGGAAGAACATCGACAGTTGGCTCTGAGCTCCAACTGGTACAGCCCATGGGTGACGATATGCTGCCATTGCAGGTTTTGCCTGTAATTCCGCGTAAAGGCGTCTCCGCAGCTCCAATTATTCCTTTCACAGAAGAAAACCATGAAAGTCTGGGAGTGAAAGTGAATTCTTTTCCTCTCCCGCCCACCACTATACGGAGAAGGAGTCATATCCCCGTCCTTAGTTTCATGGCCGCACAGCCCGAAACATGCAGAAAGTACCAGGGGAGAATCTCGACCCAGCATATCGAAAGAGAACGCACGGATACACGAAGCAACGAAGGATTTTCATTACAATTGGCTCAAATCGCAAAATCAGCCACAACTGCCTTCAATGGAAGACAGCGTCCGGCGAAAGGACGCCTTCCCCTGCCCACTTTTGTGTTTCCTTCGCCGTCTCCACCATCATCCCCGGAAGTACAAGGAGCGCCACAGGCATTGCATATCACACACCCATCTGCGGAACTGTCTAACAGTGATGACAGCAATGTCGTTAACGATGTTGCCCTCCCTATCCAACAGAGTACAGCCAACTGCTATTCCCATGGGCGCTACTATGTAAACGCCCTAATGACATCAATTTCCACAAACGGCACCGAATCTGGTTCCAATAGCCACGCTGTGCAAACTAACAACGATGGAAACGAGGCCACAGCTCTCACTACCGGTTCAAACAGCACCCTTGAAGCGCACCACAACAATGAACAGCCTACCCACTCCGCCGTTGCTTCACCAAGAACATCATTATCACAAGAAACCTTCTATTCAGTCATCTCTGATGACTCGAGCAGTGTGGCAGCCGTAAGAATACGATGTCCACCGCCATCCCCCTCGTCACCAGTTTCAAACTCAAACCACGTGCACCCGGGAAAATCACAGAATCCACAACTTCGGCGCCAGATCTTCCAACGTATGTTGAATTTTCTCCCGGTTCCTGAGTCTGGGGGGTTAGCAAAGAGGCGCCGCCGCCATGCTAGCGCAGTGAATGATATGCCAGGAATGGGTGAAAAGTGAAATATCGATGGGGATAGTCTTGAATGAATCGATTAATGTGTGCCAGTGTTAGAGATGGGAGTGGAATCAGATTCGGAGCCGAAAATTGCTCTTGGATTCACGATCAGATATGCCCTGATTAATTAGCTTGAAGCGATCAGTGCTCGTGGATAAGAGTTATTGATGTGGCTGGTGTTTGTTTTTTCTTTCCCCAAATTGGGTTTTGTTGCCTATATCTATTTTATTTATTTTTCAGTTCGTTATTTCCTTTGCCAATTTCCTCTTTTTACGGCATTCGGATACCTGAACTCGTTACGGGATAACCTGTATGCATTATATTGCCCTAACATACGGTTTAAAAAATGAAGGACGACCGAACGGCAGTCAGATGAGGGGGGGGGGGGGGTTCTTCAGGAGATGCAATCAAATCTGGTAAGGGTTCAGTTTAACGCCTATGATATTTGCCCCCTTTTTCTTTGTTTTATCGTAAGTTTGTCAAATTCATAAACTTCATCACTTCTTTTATTAACTTCACACATGAAATTCATTCAAAAGCAAGGTTTAATTCACTATTCAAACTGTTTACCTCATTAATGAAGAAGAAGAGTAAAAAGGTGAGAAATGGGGATTTTTAAAAATGGAAAAAACGAAGGGGAATCATCATTCTCACCCAAAAACCAGAAAGCAAATAGAGGTGAAACAGTTAACAAAAAACTAGAGAGTGAATATGGAAAACAGAATACACAAATAATGAAAAAGAGCAAACTCTATACAGCAAACAAAGACTGTTCATTCCGGCATCTGTACCTTCTCCGCTCAGAAATAAATTGAATATGCTATCTGGTGAAGCAAAATAAGTATCAAACAGGAAAGGAAGGGGGAAGCAAAAATATTAGCAACAACTACACAGCACCTATTCAGGAAAGGGAGAGAAAAAATAAATCAGAAGGGAAATCGAATAAGACCGCTCGTTTGCTAGTGTTGTGCTGTCAATTCGGCAGCTGACGTAGGTAGCCTGTGTCTCGAGCAATAATATTTGCAAAATAAACGTATGTAACGGCCTCAGGCAAAGTCCATGGTAAGATATGTAGAGGGAAAACCGAGTTGATCTCCTTTTATCCCAGTTTCTGCCGCTGCAGTCCCAGTCCCAGAGGAGTCTTCTGCTGGTAGAGGGTACCACGTCCCCGTAAGAGACAGCTTCGCTAGATTGTGATTCATTGCGCCTTTTTGCACTATGTGTCAATATATTTCGTGGTATGTGCAATGCTTTTGCAGTCGTTCCTGAATAAAGTTTGAAATCTTCCTCTTGTGCTCATGGCTGAGACCTTGAGAGATATTGACAGCAAACGCAGCATGTACTGAGCCAGTAGCAATAGTTGCATATCGAATCGATGATCCTTTAAAGGGGTAATCCCAACACTCGCATCATCGGAGGACGGATGGACGATACACCTAGGGTGGTTAGGTGATATATACTAACTCTCAGTCGAGTGGTGGCGTCGCGGTTACTCCATCAGCCATTTCATTGTCCTCCTCATCATTAATTACGGTGGCATGCATAAGGCCGGTCACTTGACCCTCCTCTTCATCTAACTCATCAGCATCATCATACATAGTTCCCTCCACAGTCTCTTGACGATAAGTGACGGCCGCACGGTTGAGAAAGTCACGCAAACGACTAACTCCTTCGCCGCTAAATACACAGAAAACATCACGCTGTTGTTGTGTGAATTCGACAGGGGCTTCACGGCAAAATGCTGTTAAGTCTTCTCGAAGAAATGCCTGCACGCCAGTAAGACTAAGATGGGTAAGACGTGGGCAGTTGTTGAGCAGGGAATGGATTCCCTAAATATAGGTTAGATTTTCCAGTGAAGTTCTCAATTCTGGGAAAAAGTGAGGGGGGGGAATAACGGTAAGGAGGGTAGACATTAACTTACTTCCATAGTCAAGTGAATGCAATAGCTAAGATGTACTCGTTCCAAACAACTAGTTCCCGAAGGGTGCTGAGACACTCTGGATTTTGCCAGCGCAAGAATACTGCGGTCGGTGATTGACTGACACTTGACGAGACCAATCCGTCTCAGCTTCGGAAGAGTAGCCAGTTGTTGAATACTTGTATCGGTCAATCGATTGCAGCATGCCAGATCAATATATCGGATACGGTTGCATGATTTAACCAGTTGAATGACAGCTGCATCGGTAATGTTGGAACAATGGCCAAGATGGACGTAGTGGATGTTCTTGCCCAGTTTGCAAATGGAAAACACAGAACGGTCTGTAATGAATCTACATTTTGCTAAAACCAGGTTTCTCAATCTTGGTGCAGAGTTGATGATTTTGTGTATGGCATCATCTCTGAGGTTTTCGCACGCTGTCAGGTCCAATATCCTGAGGCTATCAAATATCAACCCATCGGGGATATTAAGGAAAGCTGAGTTCTCGATTTCGACGCATTGTGCCAGGCGCAGCTCTCGAAGGTTCCGAAGTGTGGACAGTAGCGCAGTGACCGATGAACTGGTCACTTGTCTGCATCCATGAAGGTCGATCTCCAACATCGACGGGCAGTTGGCAGCAAAAGCTTGTATTGATCGATCGGTGACTTGGGTGACCCCATTTAATTTAAGCTAGATAATATCAGCAATTGTGTGACGGTATGTCTGGGGGCGGAGAAACGCGTACCCTCTTAATTTGACGACAACTTTTAGCAATAGCAATCAACGACTCGTCTGTGACCTTGGCACAGCCAGTAATGTTCAATCCTTGAAGTCTCGGGCAGTTCTTGGCGACAATAAGCAGTGTATGATCTGTCAGAGACTTTAGCTCAGATACATCCAAAGCCTGGAGATGTTTGTTTCCTTCAACAAGATCAGAAACCCCATTGTCCGTCAGCATTGAGCAGTTGGTCAAAGTGAGGCGTTCGATCCGTTTGCAGCTTGCGAAGGGGACAACAGATCCGTCAGAGATCTTGTTGCTCAGTGCGGACAAGTTTAACCGTTTAACCAGATCGTAGTAGTGAAAATAGCTGTTCGTTTCTTTGAATACTTTTACCACCTTTTCCAGATTCTCCCAGGTATTACATGAGGGTCTATGCCACAGAATTCCTACGCAATTGACTGCCCAACTTCGAGAAACCTGCATGCAGCTCAGCATATCTGTGGGGGAGTTGAGTTTTGCGAATATGGAGATGAGAAGTTCAGGAGGCAAGCGTGAGATGGGGGGAAGAACGGTATTCTGGTTGGTTTTGACATTGAGGTCTCGAAAGGTTCCCATGCCCACAGAAGACTCAGAGTCGTTCGCCAAGTGCATGAAGAAATCAGTATCGTCATCCGCAGCACGCTCCGGAGAAGTAGAATTCGAAGATTCCGAGAGGGCTTCATCTCCAGAAACCCGCAGAGGGGCTCGAGAACGAAGCATTTCAACGGCTCCAAACTGGCGTGAAGGGAAACTGGATTTCGTCAACCCAAGGTACTCTTCTCCTCTCAGTTATGCAGCATGTAGTACACCGTTTCAGGATAACGACCTAAACAGGGTCTCTAATACCCAACGATAGACAAAGGGAGCAGCGAAGAGGTGTGCGCAGTGTGGTGAGGGCTGCGGGGTGCGAGTGGAAACCAACAACAAGCTGGGGAGGTGTAACTCTGTAGTTAAGCGGTTACTAGTTGGGTTGTCAAAGCAGCAGAGGACAAACTATAGAAACCGCAGGCAGGAGGCACTCCTCGGGGTGGTATCAACAGGTGAACTGCATACGCAAGGGCGGGTCAAGGGAGAGCAAAACAACTTTCGGAGCAGATTTGCTGGTGAAGTAGGAGGAGGGATGTGGGTTGTGAGGCGTAGGCAGACCGGCTGAGGGCGCGAAACACAAGGAAAGCGAGAGAGAAAGAGGGTTCGAGGGTTCGAGAGGCCTGGAGAGTAAGATCATTAAGCTCGTGAGGCGAGCAGTGGATGTTGAAGGCAATAGATTGACAGTGGAGGATATTTGTATTTTATTTTTTATTTTTACTTCTGGCCTGGCGCTTGCAGCGATACTAGGTGATCGAGGTTTATGGTGGAGAGGACGAACTCTACAAGACTTGGTTTGCTCAATAAGCCGCAAGTCAGCAGCCAATGGCGCAGCAGCCAAAGGCGGGAGAGCTGGGGATGAAATGCTGCAGGCAAGGAGACGTGGAGAGCGTAGTAATTAATATTTATGTCATGGCTGGAAGGAAAGGGAAAGGAAATGGAAAAATACCCTATAACTTGCACCTGTACACCTATTTAGCTTCGCAATGGTTCATCGAGTGCAATGTTGTTGTTGTTGTTGTTGGTGAGGTTGATATTTCAATATGAAAAACAGGAGATGTTAGCTCGAACGCCAACAACAACCTTGGGTCTTTGCCCCGTGTGGAATCCCCTCACGCGGTGCCAGACTCACAAGGTCTGCTGGAAAACAAATGACCAGGCTTGCACTCTAGTGCAGGTCATTCACCAGAGGCCTTGTATGTCATTATCGTTCACCCCTGGATAGCGGCAGAAGCAGAGGTCAAATATATATTTTGTTAAACTACACCAAGTTGGTTATATATTTACCTTGGGCCAGACGCTATTTTGATGCATTGTATCCACAGCATCCCAATCAACTTGACAGATCCATACAGCTTCATATAAGGCTATTATGATGTAGGACTTCACGGGATACCCAGGATCTACAAAGGGGAATGGGAAATGGATCTTTGTTAAGGCCTCACTGATATGATTAGTTCTGTCTCGCAGCTGAATATTCCTAATTCCAAGTTTGATATCGCGCTAAGATATATATCAAAAAATAAAAATAAATTAGACAACAGGATAACGTCAAGAAAGCTATATCAAAATCCCAATCATTGAAGACTACGGTCTGTGCCTTTAGCCCACGCCCTCAAGACATTCTTCTTCACCTTCCCAGTGCTGGTCTTGGGTAGTTCCGGCACCACCTCGACTTCCCTGGGCACCATGAATCGGCTGATGCCGCTCACATGTTTTGCCCACTCAATCACATCCTTGCCCCCAAGCTGTTTGCCACTCTTCACCGTGATGAATGCCTTGGGTCGCTCTCCCCAGTGAGAATCAGGTACAGCTACAACTCCCGCTTCGAGAATGTCCGGGTGTGTGACAAGCATGGACTCCAGAGCAATAGAGGATATGTTCTCTCCGCCTACAATAGGACATTAAAATTCTTAGCATTTAACAGAATCACAGACACAAGAGAAAAGAGGATGGCTGTGATTTCCCAGAAGATGACTTACCGCTAATGATGATGTCCTTGGCCCGGTCTAGGATCTTTATGGATCCATCCGGATGCCAGACGGCCAGATCCCCTGAATGGAGCACTCCTCCGCTAAAGAGCTTCTTCGTCTCCTCCACATTTTTATAGTACCCCTTGGCGCAAATATTCCCCACAAAGACAATCTCACCAATCTCCTTCCCATTCTTCTCTACGTCGATTATCGTCCCTTCAGGAACCTCTGTCTTGATCACACGGACCGGAAGACTGGTTAGGAACCCATAGCCCTGTCGTGCCATTCTCTCATATTTATCTTGTTCCGGAATCGTATCCCATTCAGGCAGGTAATAACCTTTCGTGATTGGGCCGTACGTTTCGGTAAGCCCGTAGACATGGACCGGGTGTAGGTTGAGGTTAGTCATTTGCTCGAACAAATGCGGTGTTGGCGGGCTTGCTGCGACTGTGACCCGAACGGGAGACGGGAGCATCTCTGCCTCTTTCGAGCTGCAGAGGATGGTATTAACAGTGGGAGCCGCGCAATAGTGAGTAATGCCCTCTTCCTTGAGTAGTTTCCAGATGAGGGGGTAGTCGATCTTGCGCAGACAGTAATGCGTGCCCCTGACGGCCGTCACAGCCCATGGGAAAGTCCATCCTATAATGTAATTTTGGTTAAATTAGGAAACCCCACGGATTGAAAAAAGTCTTTGAAGAATAGATGGTATATAAACGAACCCATAGCATGAAACATTGGCAACGTCCAAAGGTAACGGCACCGGCCCCGATTGTAATTTAATCCGGATTCTATTATATTCGCGAGGGTTGCCAGATAGCAGCTGCGATGGATATATTCCACTCCCTTTGGCCGCGAAGTTGTGCCGCTGGTGTACGAAAGCGCAATGAGGGCATCTTCATCTGCCGTCTGGGCGTTCAATCCTTCCCATCCATGGCTTCCAGACGCAGTATCAAAGTTGAGGCCTTCCAACACTGCTTGGTCGAATTGTCCACTAAGTTCACCTTCTATAGCATCTGTATCCGTGTCGATGATAAGAGGTATATGTGGGTAGGTCTTTCTGAACTCAACGAGAAGCGGGAGAAATTCTTGGTCGACGATGATGGCTTCTGCTTCGGAATGATTGAAGATGTACGCAATGTCTTCGGGTTTTAATCTGTAATTCACGGCTGAAGCTTCAATTTAGCACACGAAGACCAGAGGAAGTAGTTCCAGGTTGAGAATCATACCAACATTAACTGCGCCCGCCGCAGCTATAGCGAAAATCGATTCCAAAAACGCCGGGGTGTTAGGGCATAATATCCCAACCCTTTTGAATCCATGTTTTTTCAAATAGTATGCAAATCCCCGAGCCCGATCTGCTGTCTCAATATACGATCTTCTGAGGACCTTGTTGTTCGCGGTGACGTGGTAGATTGCTTCGGCCTGTTGATATTGAAGGTTTTTCGATCAGTAAGATAGAATGAATACTGAAACAAAGCAGAGCATCATACATCTGGTTCGATTGATGCAGCGCGCGGGAGGAAAAAAGTGGGAGAGAGCGCATGTCGATTGAAATTATGAGAAAACTGATCCCCTTGGGCTTCTGCGCCCTGGCTCTTTACGGGGAGGAAATGCTGCGTGAGATGGCGCAAACGATTTGCGGCACTAGACATGTCGATGAGGTGGCTGAACAAAACATACAATGGCAAATATATGAATAATTACTACCAGAGAATCAGGAAAAGAAAATTAAAATTAAAAAGACGGAGGGGAAAAAGAAAAGGATTGAACTGAGCCTTTTTAACACATTTGCCAGGTTCGCTCATTCGGCAATTTGTAGTGAAGTTTGGTTTGCCATTCCACGCGTCCGAGTTTGCACCGAATCACATGGAAGGCAACCCACAAAATTAAGTCGGCTCGGCATTCTCCAGGTTCGTTCCTCATCAACTACGTACCAACACAACTTCACAGCATCATTATTATGACTACAAAATCATTCTACCGCGCAGGGAAGAGGTTCACACACCATACACCATAAAATGTGCTAAGTTATTTTTGAGAAAGAAATCATTTAGTTTAAGCGCCATGGAATAATTTATAGAGAGACAGGTAGTAATGAAGTGTATATGAACAAGGATTCCTTCCAATACGGCACCCAGTAAAAAAAGAAAATCAAAGTTTTTGGTCTTTCCCTGTTCCTTCTGCAAACACTCTGCCCTTGATTCATTAAATATATTTTCGTGATAGTATAGGTACAGGCCGATGGGTTTGCTGTCCACATTGCACCCAGCTCTACCCGCATGAACCCAAGCCAGCCTCCCCACACCTCCTCCACAGAAATCTAATAACCATACTCCGCCAATTGATCCTTTGTCTTCTGATCGACATTGGCAGTCTTCTGGGCTTGTGCAAGTTGTCTCCGCGCGGCCTTCTTGCGCTCGTAGTATGCGGAACCCTTGACCTTTCTCCTCTCCTCGAGTCTAAACCTCCGATGAAAAGATCGTTGTTAGCAAACCATTCAAAAATCCAAAATCGTAAGAATAAATTTCCGTAATCTCCATGACGGAGATGCTCGCTGGCGACTGACCTTGCAACGACGTCCTGGTATTTCCAGCCAACCTCGTGGCTCAACCGTCCAACAGTGCAGTATTTACGGCCGGGCTTCAGCCTGAGAATTCGGAGGGCCTGGGGAACAACAACTCTCTTCTTCTTGTCATATGGTGGTGGGACACCCTCGAAGACCTTCAGTCTCTCCATGGCGGCGGCACCACGGGAGCTCTTGTGGGGAATCATGCCTCGGACGGCCTTGTAGAAGATACGGGAAGGAGCACGGAAATGGAAAGGACCTGCAACCCGATATTAGTGGGTCTGTCACCTGTCACGTAGGAATCGGGATCGGAAGTTTGCCTCACCCCCCCGAGTTGGGTTGAAACGAGTGATCTTTCGCAGATAGGCGTGGTACTTCACTGCAGGGAGAAAGAAATGGAGTCAGTCGCAAAATTCCATGATGCAATATCCATGCATCCCAATTTTCCCGGTTTCCCATGCCTTAAATGCCCTTTTATATATATATTTTACCAGATCCAAAAACCGAGAGAGGGGGGAAGATATATCGTACGTTTAGCGCGGAAGAATTCGCCAGAGATGTTTAGTGCTTCACATCGCACAACGACAATCTTTTGGCCATTAAGCAACTGCTTGGCCACGATGCTGGCCAGGCGACCAAGGAGATGTCCCTTGCCGTCGATGACGACCTATATTCATCACAACATTCCCAGTCAGTTTTCTCAGGTCCTTATTATAGAAGCGACGAGATAAGGTAAACGCACCACTGGCTCGAAGGTGGACATCCTGTCTGTCACTGGTTCACGAGGCAAATATCGAGCAAGGCGATGAGCTATGCTCGGGGATACACCTTGTGTAGTGTACTGTCGGGTTGGGTGTCGTAGTCGTTGTCGGTGTCGTTGGTCGTCTCCTTCAAACCACGAAGTCGGAGAGGTTCGATGGCGGGATATGGCTAAGCGAGGCTAGTTTGTGTGGAAGGCGAACGCGGAAGCCCTAAGTTGCCCAATAGAAGCATCTTCATCACGTGACTGTGGTCTTATTTGTAAAGAGAGCATTTATTTACTTCAACTGCTTTTAACTAAGGAATAACTAGGTTAGTTAACTGTTAATAGTTATTAACTGAGTTTAGTTACTCCTTTCTCGATGTCAACAAGATTCATGGTAAATATTGGGAAGTGTCTATACGTACCTGTCTCGACCTCAATCAATCTTGAGTTACTGGTTGTGATTTCTATCTATCTATCTCTTGTTCGTATGATAAATATTTCATGTTCTACGGTCATATCTATCTAGCTCCCGTTGCTGTTGACCAATGATTCGCCGACCTCGCTTCATCTACTCCTCCGCCCGTACAAACCGTTCTAACCGTTATATTTACACTGGGTAAGACGGTGAGTACAAGTTCTCACCATTTTTAATACCCATTGGCTACGTTATGCATACGGTTTTTGTGCAATAGGAGAGAGCGTTGCAAAGTTCCTGAGCTCCTCGACATCCCCTATTTACAAACACCTGGAAGTACGATCGCAATTGTTGCGCATCTAATGACCTAATCACATCATTTCAGGCTTCTTTCAGAGCCCTTCATTTTCTAGAAGAATTTCGGATGAAGAAAAAGCCCCAATTGTCTCTTGTGTCGAGTCAAGTTCTCGTTTTAAAAGCCAACCAATTCAAGGCAACTAACTGGCCGCATAGAGGGGGTAAAAGATTTAACAATTCTCTGGTTGTGGACCTGGACCTACCGGCTGATGAATAGAACTACAACCGTAGCTAAGAGGACCACCCTTGTAGGTCCGCGGGTAGAATACAGTAACCTGAAATCCGAATTGACAGATGCCATGCTAGCATTAAACTACGTACAAGCTCAGGATCAGTGCCTTCATGCCTTCATGCCTCCATTAAAGAATAAATATTAAATCTAGTCAAATCTCATCAGCAAATCCGTATAACTGATTGCGACATCCTATTCCAACAATGAAACAAACTCCTAATATATAGTAGGTTCCGGTCTAATTTAACTTTATTAAAACTAATTATATGTTAGCGCCGCGCGCTACGAACAATACAAATATTTATAAGAAGGCGATTACCTAGCAACATTAGACACTATGGCGGAGTGGTTAACGCGGTGCCCTGCTATGTGGTGTTCGACCATAAGCGAAGGCATTTCCTTCGGGAGCGCAGGTTCGAATCCTGCTGGTGTCGTTCTTTTTTTTACCTTCACTATATTCCTCCTCTTTATTCTCTTTTTGTGTTTTTGTTTTTTTTAACCCTCGGCTCCTAATTGACTTTACCATACTTTTGAGGCCCTTTTTTACTTGTTTTACTAAGCGAAATCGCGATAACTAGTTATTCAACCCTATCTGTTCTGTAGCGGCTTTCGTCCAAGGGGCAATCAGCACTAGCGGGAGCTTCGATGGCCTGGGTTATGTGGAGTGGTTTTAAAACCCCTTGAGTTGACATACCTTCTAGGTTAATGGATGCCCTCTTCTGCCATTCTACTGTCCAAATAGATATGAAAATTCATCCATTCGAGGTAATCTTGGTGGCGTGTTGAAGAGCTACGTAACGTGACTTACCACTAAATGAGCCATATCACTAAACGAGCCGCTCTCAGCAAAACTGCCTCAACTTGCTAGAATCTAATTAATTCCACAACAATGAAATAAATATTAATTAGATTATTAAATAGTAATGAGAGTATTCTCTAGTTCCATACAAAATAGGTGGTTTAATAAAATAGATGTGTGCTTGGCCGAAGAACGCGGCCATGATGGGAGACCCGGCATGGAGTAAGGAGATTGATCAAAGGAGTGTCAATTTCTGAATTAGTAGTAGAAGCAGCAGTAAGCTGCTCTGGGGGATTGAGGTTGACCTCATTTCCTAGACTGGAAGGTTGGATAGGGTTTAAAGGTTTAGAATCCACTGTAGGCGCCTGCTTCTGCTGTCACTTTGAAGCAGCTGTAGTTGAACTGACTGATTTTTGCTTTGCAGTGCAAGTACTAGCCTGTTCTTGCTTCTCAGCTTCAAGCTGAGCCTTTTTAGCCTCTCTAGCAAGCTGCTGAGCTTTGTGATGCTCTGCCTTTCTAGCCTTCTCTTCCTCACAGGCTTTGTGAGCTGCTGCCTGAGCTGCTTGTTGTTCAATTTGTTTTTGCTAAGCCTCTTCAGCTTCATGTGCTTTTCAGAGATCACATTGAAGTTGCTCTTGGGTTTGTTGAGAAGTTTTCTCCTCTTTTTCACAATCTGCTTCCTGAATCCTCTCATGAGCTTGTTGAACCTTGGATGGTGAGAAGAATTGAGTCTGGCCAGGCTGCTGCTCTGGATTCAATAGACCTAAGGACTTTCCACACTGTCATTGCTTCTTTTCATTGCATAAAGCTTTAATTAGGGCCTTATTCTCATGCACAAGCATCTTCTTTTCAAAGACAAGCTTCTCACTAGCATGTACAATCTTTTCCATGTCTTTAGAGAGCAGGCTCTGCCAAATTCAAATTCTCTTAATATCATGTTGAAGAGCACAGGTAGTTGTAGGTGTAGCAATCTCAGTTGAAGCTGAATTGACTGGAGATATAGACTGTTTTGTAAATCAGTAAAGAACATGCTCAGAAGTAAAAGAATGAATATCAGTGACAGCAAATGTGGATTGAATATTCTTAGCTGTTAAAGACTGATCTCATGTGAAATTGAAGACTGATAAAAAGCTTCTTTTAGTCATTTGAATGAATTCAAATTCACTGCAAAGAAGGTTATTGATGCTGTGAGAGTATGCTTCTGCTAGAGAACTAAAGATGTCAACATTCAAAGATTGCAGTCAGTGAGTTGAATGTGAAGGCAGTACTGCAAGAAGGATTCAATTTTGATCTGCAAAATCAATAAATCTCATATTGACATGAGAAGAGTGCTCATCTAGAATAAGAAGATGTCTTTCATGGCCTGCTTTAGTCTTGATGTGCTCATCAAAGATCCACTTTAGTCAGTTAAGCTCATAGTCATTATTACTTCAATCTTTTTTAGAAACTGCAAAATAAGCTGTATTATTCTCATCCAGATCCTCTAGTCATGTATCCAACATATTGTGAGACTCTTCTTGATAAATAAGAGTGAATGGAAGAGCTGTTCCATCTGCACATATTGCTGTGAGTAGAGAGATGAATTCACAGCTGTCATCTTGAACTGCAGTAATTTGCTTTGTCTTCAGAGCTTCAACTGGAATGATCCACTTAGTAGCCTGACTGATGCCAATTAAGAAGCCCTTTTCATCAAAATTGTAGATATTTGATGGCTCAATATTGTATTTTTTGATCTTCTCATTCAACTATGTAGTTACACAGCAAAATAGTTAGCAAGAGCCTATAGAGAACTTAGTGCAAGAAAACAAGCAAAAGATCAAAATACTAGCTGGAAATAATGCTCGAAATGAGTAGAATTATCTGCTATCTTGCATTTTTGATCAATGCCATAGACATGAATTCTTTGAATTTGAGCCTTATAGTGCTCAGTAAAGCACCTCACCCAGTGAATTCCAACAGGTTCTTTGATGATTTCTGCAATGAGATTTCAAATGATTTGAGGTGTAGGAGCAAAGCTGCAAGCTGCAAGCTTCTCTATATGAAGCAGAAGCATTTGTTCTTGCTGATTTGAGAGCTTCTTCTTATGTTGGGAGGCTGCTTCATCCTGCATGAGTTGCAAGCTGTTATAATGCTGGTGCAGCATTTCCCTTATTAATTGAGTGCTTCCTAGCAGTTGCAGTGTAATTTTTGACCTTTTGAGCTCTTAAATCCTTAATTGCAAGTTGAATAGCTTCTTTGTTTGGCATCTCAAAGCAGTGGAAGTTGAAGAATTAAATTGCAGCGCGTCGCAAAAACGCGGCTCGTTTAGTGGCACGGCTCGTTTAGTGGTAAGTCACGTTACTTAGCTAGCCAATGTTCTTTCAGTCGAGCCACGCACACCCCCAGCCGAGATAGACTTCCGTTTGGTTTCAAGTTCAATGAGGTAGAATATGCGCACGGCTAAAGAGATGTATTTCCCATATCTATACTCATTTTTCTCTGAGTAGTCCACTGTTATTCTCAGGGTAGCAGTTCCCCACCCTGTAAGCGGGCCCCCTTACTTCTTACCAGCCGGCGTAAAACAAGTGCATAAAGTCCTAAACTCACAAAACACGCCCACTTCAGTCCCCAAGCTCCAAAGGCTCTCATGACGCACTATGCAAGGTCATCTTCAATACCATTACACGCACCTGCCAGAGGCAAGGAGCATCGTGTGCCACAGACTTTACAAACGATGATTGGTGCTCTAGAACCTGATCTACACATTCAGCCTTCGCCCCTTGAATCGCGGCGTCTATAGAGAGCTCGGGATGATATTCAATAGATATTTGATTGGGAGTCTCGTGGGGTGTAGGCTGTGGTTAGGAGAGGGCAGATGCCGTGATGTGAAGGTGCTTCAGTGCAGTGAACTCAGACAAAGAACTGATGATGCTAAGTTGTGTAACGCCACTTGTTGAATATGAATTAAATACCCAGAAAGAGCGAGTTTCGGAATCTTCGAGAAAGGGGATTAACCATCTGGATAGCATTGTCTTCATATGTCTCCGGTTCAGAATGGCGTTATACGAACGACTGGGGACTTTTTAACATTCGATTATCTGCTCTGCACCATTCCCGGTCAGCAATACATAAGCTGTTCATGGATAATTGCAGACTAATTTTTGTGATGCAACCGCAGTCTCGGTCTTGGGAAACCGTGCAGCCCAGAACTGCTGAACTCCAGGAAAGGCTCTGTCGACTGGGATTTGGGTATTACCGGGCCAATGCACATGTCCAGATGTGAGCAGTGGCAAGATAAATGGGCGGCCCATATCACCGTCATTCTGGGAGTACATAACCTCCCAGGCCTACTCGCGAAGCAGGTCGATCAGCTACCCGACTCAAATAGCCATACCCAAGCATCTCCAACTTCAACTTTCCCAATATAGGCACAGAAAGTACCAAGGAAGCTAATGAGCGCATCCGGGGAACCAGCTTGAAGCCCTTTTTCTGCCATTTCCCCCTCATATTCGTCGTCATACTAAAATATTCGATTGCTTTGCATAAAGAGGGCGGAGCGGTCAGCAGAGCTTTTTAAGCGCTCATAGCCTGGGTCTTAACCAACCGTAAAGAGCAAAGGCTCTGTGGTTGAAAAGCGCAATTCACAGACCACCCGAGGAAGCCATGGCCCTTTGCAAAGATGGTTCGAGGCAGTGGTACGACATTTCCCTGGGAACGTTATGTAAGTAACGTGGGTAGTAGTGCCTCATAGAGTTGACGAGAAGTATGCAGCGGATTCAACCGTTGACTCGGGGTCTTTAGGTTGAATGCAATGATCATTAATCTTTCCGTCGGGCAAGTGGGACAGGCATTATCTTGATGGAAGTTCAGCTGCCTCGCTAGCTGGCTGGTCACTGTCGGAACAGTACACGCCCCCAGGTGTACGTGGGAGAAATTCCACCCGAATTGGAACGGCATGGCTATCGACAGGCGTAAACTCACTCAGATACGCATAGGATATCTGCGGAACTGCACTCCAGCCGCAAGAGCATCATATTGATGTCGTTGCTTTAATCTCTTCCAGCAAACTTTGCGAACGCTGCTGACAGGGGCTACTATTGGAGGGAAACCAAACATATCAACCTACTCTCGCTTAGGTTGCCCTTCACGTAGGTATTGTACGAGAATTAAGAGTGCAACCATGAGGTTATTGGAGAATTGCAGCCAGATAAAATTCACTGAAAATTGTGAGCTACTCATCATATCAATGGGAGAGGTTCTAAGTTCTTGCGCAAACTCTTAATCATGGCAGGTGAGCAAGTATCAGTGAGTGTGGCTGACATCTCCAGGTCCGGAGTCGACGAGTCGCAGAAGAACCTTGAAGTCGGGTTACCCTTAGTAGCACAGAATTGCAAAGGGAGCACCTGTTTTATCGAGCGCACCACTGTCACTGTGATAATGGCTTTTCAGACCCCTCCTACTTTGTTCGAGACGGCGGCTGATAGGGCATGGCTATTGGCGATGGATGACCGAACGTTTATAGTGGTGGAGGGGTGAAGAAAGCGCAGGTGAAGTTGGGACGGGGGAAACGTTTGTATTGGAATTGAGTTTCATAAGTCTATGTATGGCTATTTACTCTATATGCCCTTTGGCTGTGGAATGGCAAAATTTCAGAGAGGGAGCCGGGAATGAAAATGTATGTAAGGTTCGAGAATAACATACGATGTCAATATGTGTTTGTTGATAGGGTTCTTGTCGATATTAAAAGGAGGGGCAGATCCCGGGCAAGCAGTGAAAGAGCAAGTAGGTAAAAGGGCAAAGGGCAAAGGGCAAAATCAATTGGCTCCTGGTCTTATGTATTTATCTGAGGTAAGAGATTTGAGCAACATGCTCACCAGTGTCTGCATATACATAGCAGATATTGAAGAGGGCAAATGCACTCAAGACAACCCATGGTTAGTCCCGTCAACCACATCACCAAGATCAACCGGATTCTGTCTCATCCGTGGTGCCTCATAGAATGTTTCCTCAACTTCTTCTAAACTTCCCTGGCTACTTCTAGTGGTGATCTGTTTCAATACCAAAAGGCTAGCGAACTGATGGTTAAAAGTGAAACTCAAGGGTGTGAATCTTCAGCCAACCGGATTGCCGCCCGCTCCCTCTCGCCCCGCCTGTGCTGTGAGTATGCAGAGTGAATGATTTGTGAAGGGGACGCGAGCCCATACATGACTTGGTTGCGATGAAAATACTTTACCAATTGTTCGATGGGGAAGTTGGGAGAAGCACTGCCATCACTGCAAGTTCTTTTTGGTTTTATCTCCAGTAATTATATTTTCACTTCCATTTGTTACACAGTATGTCATCCCTCCCCTCAAACCCCCACGTCTGTGTAAAAAAGCCATAAAATGCGAACCATATGCCAGCTGGAGAGTATTAGAAGTCAAGAGGGGTTGAGAAACATCCATTGATGTCCCAGACTTGAACCGTGCATTGGTGAATTAAAGCCTGGGACTCGATTGGCTCAATCCCTCCCCCGCAGGTGGCTAACACCACCCTTTTTTTTTCTTTTTTTTTTTTTTTTTCGCTGATTCCAGGAGGATCATGGAAGCTTCAAAGTTCACAGGATGTCAACGCCGAGCGCCAGCAAGGAGTTTTCGACCAACGAACGAATAGTACAAGCCAGTTTGCATGGGTTGACGGAAGTTTATAACCCTGGATGATGTAAAAATGGGCCAACCCACAATGCGGATACCAGTCTTCTTCCACCAATCAGTCCATGACATCGACAAGCAGGTGGAAAAGCCAAAATTATTGCCTCACCTCGGGATTGGAGTGCCTATAATGTTGTATGCATGGCCAAACTCCTGATGTGAGAGAGGCATCAAGACCACACTTGAGAAGTGAAGAGGGCACGAGAACGGTCTAGGGTTTGCTAGAATGTGCTCTGGACAATTACTATCATATCCCACACGACCCACAAGAAGCCGACGTATTAACTAACTACTAGTTAGACTAATAGGAGCCAACCTCCACGAAATAATAATGCATATTTTCGATCTGCGGTTGTAGGGGTGGTGGATCCCCGCGCTGCCAGACCCTAAGGTGCTTTAAGCGGGTTGAGATGGATAGTTAACACATCACCATCACTGTTTCAAGGTTGATGATGAGGATGAACGGGCGGTGGGTTAACTTAGTTACCCCTCCAAGTCAGTTGCCTTGGTACGGTGAAATGGGCAGGGATCGGATGACGCCAGGTAGCGACGTCAGACCATAACGTGCCCACTGCGGCACTCCAAGTTAGGGACGCTCGGGGTCTTCCTGGTCGTGACATGTCCACCTGTGTTCGTTGGATCCTTGGATGTTGCACTTTTTGGTTGTCATTCCGGCAACTACCGGCAGCTTTGCTCTTTGCCTGTCCCTCTCACCAAATATTTTCGAGTAGTGTGTAGTAGTATCAGACATTTATTTTATTTTATTTTACTCCCAAACCACTCATCCCCATTTACTCGTTTTATTGGACGAACCGCCTTACCCGTCTCCCATGCGTATCTACCCCATGAGGCAATCAAAGTGATGCGAAAGGATGGGCCAGAACTCCCAAAGAAACCCCGAGTTATTAATTCGCTGGCAAGTCGCAACGCCTGGATCTACGGTGTGGTGTGTCGGAAGCAGCTGGCCAAATCAACTGCAGTTACCATGGACCAAGGCTAGGTTTCAGTTCAACCTACCAAAAAGTTAGTCAAAAGCTGACGAAAGTTACCCCGCTATTTTATTTACTTTTTTTTACCTTGCCCGCGTCGATGATGGAGACAGAGTTTCGCACCAGGAACAAACCAGAAGCTTCCAACCAAGGCACACTGCGGCTCGCAGTCATGTCAAAGGCAAGAATACCTCTATGCTTTAACCTCCGTATGATGTTTCAAAGTCGTAACAATGAATGTCCCTTGGATCAGGGAATTTGAGAGCAAATCCATCATCGCAATTCTCAATAAATTAATCAGCATTTGTAAGAGTGCCCAGATAGGGGCCTGCTCCATATCGGCAGGCTGGGATTTGACGGAAAAAATTCGGTGGATGAATGGGAGGGCACTCGGCGGTGAAAAGGGCATCCTATCACCACTCGCCCACCAAGTGCCAGTCAAGATCAAACTCAGACTGTTAAGTCCGGAACAGAGCAAGCTGTTTCGATGGTTGCATTCTTGCTTCCAATATCGAATCATTAAATACCAGCCTTGGAAAGATGTCAATCTGGATCTGCCGTAGCGAATCGGACTAGGCAGTTCCTGTTGGATCCCCCATCGTCATAGCCATTGCCATTCACCCATAGCTCTTGGCTCTCCCGTCTAAATGCAGCGTAGAATGTCTTTCCAGCACTAACATTCTTCAATACGATATTGCCTCAAACTGGGGCTGGACTTCCCTACAAAGCGTTGAAGGGAGGGAGGGGGTAAGTTAACTTTGAGGTTTGTTGGTCTGCTAGAAGCAGCGTTGAATCAACCATCCACGAAGGGGTTTCAACGTCCTGGGGGAAGTCCAGTCGTTATAGAGAGGGAAGCCATATCAGATGTTTCTGGGGGAGAAGATTAGCTTGAGATATTTGAGGCACAAGGCACGGGGCACGGGGCACGAGGGCACCAGATTGCCAGCAACGAAAAGTGAAAGGGAAATATGAAATATGAAAGAATAAGAAAAATGAAAAAAAAAGAAGTTCAGAATGAAGGAGGGGGGGAGGGGAGGGGGGGGGGGGGGGGGGGGTAGAATAGAAATAACTATATCTAACCGCAGTCAATCATATAATTTCCCCTCTCCTCTTATCATATTTCTGTCGGGAATAATCCCTCCCCTCGAGTAACTCTACAGAGATAGATCACTCTCGGATCGACCATCCCAGCTGGCGCTTCGAAGTTTCTCTCAGAGCATCACAACAGCAGCAACTGCCCATTCTGCTTTGATTTGCCTGCATCTTCCAACCTCTTCCCTCTCTCCCTGTGACGTGACTCTGCCCCTCATCTTTGTGCATCTTCAACTCGAAAGCGCCGGGGCACAGGAGGAGAATCAGCCAATTCACTTTCGACACTACTGTAGCTATCATCTGAACAGTCCCCAAAGCTAGCCTGCTAGCCAGTCTTGTCCTGTTTGACCCTGATCCTTTTTCTCCTCTCCGTTTAGTATTTTAGTATTAATTATACTGATCACCACCAGCGCGGTTCCTCTCAATCTTTCTTATCTCTTCCCTTTCCGGTTGCTTCACCGCTTCTACAGGCTCTGCCCTGACCCCATACATCTCCATCCTTTTTAGTAAACAAAGCCAGAAACACCTACCATCTGTCTTCTTTTCTCTCTCCATCATTCACCCCCCCTATGTGATCTCTCTCTCTCTCTCTCTCTGTGTGTGTGTGTGTCACACCGTCAACATCCATTGCCGTTGATATTCTCTCCTCCCTAGCTCATTCTTCCTCATTTATTTTGCCTTTCGCGCTCTTCCAGCGTGCTCTGAAGAATTTGCCCTCAGCTGTGCAGTGCAGCAGCGTGTGTTTGGCCACGCCCTCCTTTCGCAAAGGACGTGGCGCAGGTCTCACTCCAACCAAGGCCCGTTCCTTTCCCCGTTTTAATAACTAATAACGAGGACCTCTCACTTCTGCCAACGACCGTAGCCAACGACCGCGGGGGGGGGGGAGAATCCACCCGCAACATCAGACCTAAACTTCGTCTTACTCTGATCTCTTCCCGCCTCTTCCTCTCTTCCTCTCTTCCTCTCTTCCTCGTGGCGACTTCTGCGGATCATCATACGATTTTCATATTTTTATTTATTTTATATTCTATTTCATATTCTGTTATTTATTTATCTTCTTTTATTCGCCGTCTTCTCTACCAAATCTTTCTTTATTTACTACCTACTCGTTTTGGTTCATATCACCAAGAATCCCAAAGGAAGCCCATATACAACCTCAACCCAAGACTCACCAACGAAACCATTTAATCGTTTCAAATTCAATAAAGCTGCAACCTTGTCGAATGAAGCAAATTTCTCACAGTAATGCATTGTTGATGAGGCCCGCTGCTGTCGTGATTTGCCTCTGACCAGATATATATTCGTTACATTCATCGTTCGGCTACTGTAATCGGCCACGTTCACTGCATTCCCCTACGTCGAACGTAGTCGATCAATTTCCACGATAGATTCAATTCACCTTCGAAATCTCAGACTATTACACTATGTCCGAATCTTCTACAATAGATCCATACAAGACGCTGGGAATCACTAAAAATGCGACGATTGCTGAAGTAAAAAGCGCGTATAGGAAACTGGTGCTTCAGTGTCACCCAGATAAGATCAAGGACGAAGAACTACGGAAAGACTCCTTGCCCAGGTTTCAAAAAGTGCAATCCTCTTACGAGTTACTAATGAATGAGGAAAGCCGGGCGGAATACGATAATAAAGCGCGGCACGCCGACCAGGGAAGGAAATTCCAAACAAAGACACGGAAAGATGATGCTGGCTCAACTACATACCAACCTTCGGCATTCGCAAAATCATACGAATATCGAGACGGGGCTTTATACGAAGAGCGTGCACCTAAAAGCAGCAGTCGATTCTTTGAGAGCGATGTGCCTTTTTCTGAAGAACCCCGACCTTCGTCGAGGAAATACGACGGATACAGGAAGAAGCAATATACAGAGGAAAAGGAAAAGAAGAAGAGCAGACAATCAAACCCGCCAGTCCCGAGTCGTTCAAGCAAGGACCATACACGTGACGCTCGGGAGTCTGTGAAATCAAATCGCTCGGATCGTGCAAAAAACAGAGACAAGGAGCGAAAGAGAGATCGAGTTCATTCAGAGAAACACCCGAAAGCTTTTGTGGTCAGTGAACCGGAAACTGAAACTGATTCAGATATTCAATATTATACCAACGAGACTCCGGATACGCAGCATTATACTGCTACAAGTTCAGATAGGCAACAGTATACTGCTACAACTTCGGATAGGCAACAGTATACTGCTACGGCTCCGGATAGGCAACAGTATACTGCTACGGCTCCGGATAGGCAACAGTATACTGCTACGGCTCCGGATAGGCAACAGTATACTGCTACGACTCCGGATAGGCAACAGTATACTGCTACAAGTTCAGATAGGCAACAGTATAATGCTACAACTCCGGATAGGCAACAGTATGCTGCTACGACTCCCGATACGCAGCAACATTCCTCCACAGACCCAGAGTACCAACAGTATACTACCATGCCCCAGCCGCAGCCGCAGCAGTATGAAGAACATCGAAGGAGATCCAAGCCGGATTCCAAGGAATCGTCAACGAGACATTTTAAGGACGATGAGGAGGATTATACGGAGGATTATACGGAGGATTATACGGAGGATTGGTCTTCGTCGAAATTAGACGACGCTAAAAGGTATATCCAACGATCGAAAAGCGGTGGGTATTCATACGATACTGACCGTCGTTCGTCTTCCTCGTGGTCGTCTCCTTCTGCCCATCGTGCCGTGCATGTCGATCCTCCCCGCCGTTCGCCTGCAACAACCCGAACCAGGGACTCTCCACGGCCCAGCTTATCCGGCAGAGATCGCAGGGGATCAGCCGATGTACCGGACTCATCTCTGAAACCCCACATGTCGCCTCGAATTCCTACCTTGCAAAGCACCACTTCTGCACCCTCGGGGTTTAAGCCACCCTTCTCCTTTCCATCTCATCGATCTGCTCCAAAATCCCATCCTCCACTCCCCCGTCGATCAGAGACCTTGCCATACTCAGTCTTATCTCGTCACCACACGGAAATTCCATCCTTCCTATCCTCAAAGGTAAGGGAGCCCGTTGACTCCGGCTATTCCAGTCCTGGGACACCAGAAATGCGCACGGGAACAAGCCCACCAGTATCAGGTAGATATACTGTCGTCGAGGACAGTGAAAATTACATGTCCCATCGATCTGTCCGCATCGACCCCACTACTGGTTTTTATAGCAACGTCAGACGGAACCAGAGCATTTCTCCGACGCGTCGTCAATCCTCGTCCAACCCACCACCTCCGCCACCCCTCTCCAGGTCCAGGACTTATAACAACTACCCGCTAGATCACAACAACATGCCAACTTATTACGAGTCGAGTGCCATACCTTCATTGCGAACCACCGCACCAACCCCTTCTGGAGCGGGCTTGTTTGGCGAAGTCCCACCAAACCAATATGAAACGCCTAAGATAATAATTCCCGACAGTGACATTCGTTATTCTCCCCATTTATCCGAGAAAAACATTCGGTACAGTTACGTTCCGAGCTCGAGGAAGGGGTCTCTCGATCCTAATGGATATCGATAAGTTTATCCGCGAACTTATGCTCGAAATGATTCAGCTCCATTATGCTAAGCGATGAACTTTATAATTTTTCTTTTCTTTCCTTGGTTGTGTTGAATGGACGTTGTATTGTTTTTTTTCTCTTCTTTGTTTTATTTTTATTTATACGAACCTCATGGATCAATGTTGTTATGACATTTCTTTGATTCTCTACGTTTTCATATATTTCTTTACTCTTACATCTCATGACCTAACGATTACCTGAACGATCTCTCAACTATTGATATGTCTGGGGTTTTTTTTTTATTTTTATTTTCAAACCCTCATACCGTGCCCTTTGATATCTAGCATATATCTGATGGGGCGGCAATGCAAGGAGATGGCTTGTTTCTTGCTTTGTCTTGTCCAC